GAGCGAAAGAGCAATCACTTCAGATTTCCCCAAGGTTCGGTCATAGGACCACTTCTTTTTCTAATTTACATTAACGACATCCCGACTTTTGTTATTTCATTCATAGTGCTAGTTTTTGCAGACGACCTGAATCTTGACTTCGGAGGCAAGGAAAATGAATTTGAGGAACCTCGTTGTGACATCATCAATCTACATAACTGGAGTTTGCAAAATGCATTACTGCTTGATCCGAAAAAAGTGTTCTTTTTACCGAATTAAAAAGCACAAAGCCAAAAAATAATCTTGAAAACTGTTATCGAGATGAAAATATGTAGAGTTTCATCTCAATAATTTTGATACCCTGCTCATTACTGAAACTTGGCTCACTTCTGCAATCAAAAACGGCCAGCTGATGCTTCCTGGGTCAAATAGACAAACTTAAATGAAAAATTTGTGTTATGGTGGTGTGTGATTACATTTAAAAACAACATAACATGGAAATTTCAACTCAGATTTACTACCTGAATTACTCAAGTCTCCATTTTTAGTCGCAAAAGTAGACTCTAGTTAACAATATATTACTTTTCTGTATAATCCATCATCGGGACCGTGCCTACAAAATAACTCAATCAATTATAATAAACATGTTAATTTTTAAAAAGAGTTCTGCACACTGATCTTAATCGGAAAATCTGCCGGAGATCTTAACTTACCCGAAATCGAATGGAATACATACGGAACGAACTGCGCGTACGACGAAGAACATCTTTTTATGATTGATTTCAATCTGACTCAAAATGTAACTTTCAGGACTCCGAATTCTTAATACTAGGTCTCATCCTAACATCAGATGAAACTCTCAGCTCCGGCATTGAACCAGTTCTGTCCATGGAAGGATTCTCCGATCATTGTCCTTTATTTTTTTACATGAGACCTAGACTTATTTTTTTACAACGATTTACCTAAACTACTTGATTGCGAGCAAACAGTTAGATAATTTTTGCAGCTGCTGTAACTACCTCGAAATATTGTCCGAAATAAGCAGAAACAAGCTTTAACCTAACTGCTACAGCAATTTCGTTGTTACCACACACTTGTGGTATCATAACTGGATAAGTGAAACCGTTGAAAGACATGCACCTAAGGGGACCAAGAGAAGTCAGTCTCCCACCGTGGATAACTACCCCAACGTCGCACCTACCAAACTTGCTTTTGACGCTTCGTAGAAAGATACAAAAGAAGGGTAATAAACCAATTGAAGTTAGGGTACTTACAGCTTGAAACCAACTGTGAAGAAATGCAGTCAACTCATAGAACAGAGTTCGAGAAAAAGCTCTTTGTGGGCAGAATATTCAATAATATCTTCAAATATGTTAAGAGTTTACAGAAAGACAACCTTTCTTTTAAAATGCCTCATAAAGAAACCAAAATGAAAGTATGTATGGACGAGACGAAAGCGGAACTAATGAGTAATTATTCTAGACCGATTGATAGCGATAAGAGTTTTAACAGCTTTTACCGAAATTAAAGCCGAAGATCAGATAGAAACTGAGCTAAAAAAATCTAAATTAGAGTAAAAATTGAGGACCTGACAAACTGCCACCTATTTGTTGAAACAAAACTTGAAAACCGCCTTTCAATCTTTGAAAAATCTGTTTTCCAGTATTAGAGGACTCAGAAAGTATCCAACAAAATTAAGCAAGGTAAAGTTTCACCAATTTTCAAAGAGGGAGATAGGATCCGAGTATCGGATTAAAGAACAATCACTCTCCTAAATATTACGTCGATCCTTTCAAAAAAAAATAATGTTTCGGACAATAGCTAAACTGTTTCTGGAAAAATTGTCTGTTTTCCAATTTGGATTTCAACCAAGAAAATCAGTTATTGTACAACTTTTTAGCCTATCGAAAATTCAAGTAGAAGAAGGAGCACAAGACCAGAACTGTCTTATAATACTTATTGACTTTTCCAAGGCTTTCGTTATGATAAAACATGAATTTCTTCTTAAGAATGTCCTTCCACCTGGCCTCTCAAGACAGTTTTTAGATCTCGTTAAAGACTATCTGACGGGCAGAACGCAACAGTAAAATATACCCCAAGAAAATTGAGCGAAAGGGCAATTACTTCAGGTTTCCCCCCCAAGGTTCGGTCATAGGACCACTTCTTTTTCTAAATTACATAAACGACCTCCCGACTTGTTATTTCGTTCCTAGTGCTACTTTTTGCAGACGACCTGAAGCTTTGACTTCGGAGGCAATGAAAATGAGTTTGAGGAGCCTGGGTGTGACATCAACAATCTACATATCTGGAGTGTGCACAATGCATTACTCGAAAAAAATGTTGTTTTTACCGAATTAAAAAGTACAAAGCCAAAAAATAATCTTGAAAACTGTTATCGAGATGAAATTATGTTATTATTTCATCTCGATAATTTTGATGCCCTGCTCATTACTGAAACATGGCTCACTTCTGCAATCAAAAACAGCCAGTTGATGCTTCATGGGTCAAATAGACAAACTTAAAATGAAAAAAATTATGTTATGGCTGTGCGTGATTGCATTTACAAACACCATAAAACATGGAAATTTCAACTCTGAATCACTCAAGTCTCCATTTTTAGTCGCAAAGTAGACTCTTTTTAACATTATATTGCTTTTCTGTATAATCCATCATCGGGGCTATACCTACAGAATAACTCAATCGAATATAAACATCTTCAATTTTAAAAAGAGTTTTGCACCCTGAATTTAATCTTAACCGGAAAATCTGCCGGAGATCTCAACTTACCCGAAATCGAATCGAATACATACGGAACGAGCTGCGCGTACGACGAAGACTTCATCTCTTTATTGATTGATATCAATCTGACTCAAATTGTAACTTTGAGGACTCCACTTCCTTAATACTAGGTCTCAGCCTAACATCAGATGAAACTCTCAGCTCCGGCATCGAACCAGTTCTGTCCATGGAAGGGTTCTGCGATCATTATCCTTAATTTTTCAACCTAAACTACTGGATTGCGAGGAAACAGTTAGAGAATTATTACAGCTACTGTAACTAACAGGAAATATCGTCCGAAATAAGCAGAAACAAGCTTCAACTTAACTGCTACAGCAATTTCGATGTTACCACACACTTGTGGTATCATAACTAGATAAATGAAATCGTTGAAAGACATGCACCTAAGGGGACCAAGAGACGTCAGTCTCCCACCGTGGATAACTCACCCAACATCGAACTTACTAAACATGCTTTCGTCGCTTCGTAGAAAGATATACAAGAAGGGTAATAAATCAAAGGAAGTTAGAGTACTTACAGCTTGAAACCAACCGTGAAGATATGCAGTCAACTCATAGAACAGAGTTCGAGAAAAATCTCTTTGTGGGCAGAATCATGAATAGAATCTTCAAATTTGTTAAGAGTATACAGAAAGACAACCTTTCTTTTGAAAAGCGTCATAAAGAAAACAACAGAGAAGTAACTATGGATGAGACTATAATGGAATTAGTGAATAATTATTCAAGACCGATTGATAGCGATGAAAGTTTTAACAGCTTTTCCCGAAATGAAAGCCGAAGATCAAGTAGAAAATGAGCTAAAAAAATCTAAATGAGAAAAAAAATTGAGGACCTGACAAACTGCCACCTATTTCATTGAAACGAAACTTGCAAAACCGCCTTTCATTCTTTGAAAAATCTGTTTCTCAATATTAGAGGACTCAGAAAGTATCCAACAAAATTAAGCAAGGTAAAGTTTCATCAGTTTTCAAAGAGGGAGATAGGATCCGAGTATCGGATTAAAGACCAATCACTCTCCTAAATATTACGTCGATCATTTCAAAAAAAAAAATGTTTCGGACAATAGATGAATTGTTTCTGGAAATATTGTCTGATTTCTGGAAATATTGTCTGATTTCTGGAAATATTGGCAGATTTAAGTAGAAGTAGGAGCACAAGACCAGAACTGTCTTATAATACTTATTGACTTTTCCAAGGCTTTCGTTATGATAAAACATGAATTTCTTAAGAATATCCTCCTATCTGGCCTGTCAAGACAGTTTTTAGATCTCGTTAAAGACTATGTGACGGGCAGATTGCAACAGTAAAAGTAAACCCAAGAAAATTGAGCGAAAGAGCAATCACTTGAGGTTTCCCCCAGGGTTCGGTCATAGGACCACTTCTTTTTCTAATTTACACCAACGACCTCCCGACTATTGTTATTTCATTCCTAATGCTACTTTTTGCAGACGACCTGAAGCTTGACTTCGGAGGCAAGGAAAATAAATTTGAGGAACCTCGGTGTGACATCAACAATCTACATAACTGGAGTGTGCAAAATGCATTACTGTTTAATCCGAAAGAAAAAAGTTATTTTTACCGAATTAAAAAGCACAAAGCCAAAAAATGATCTTGAAAACCTTTATCGAGATGAATGGCAGACAAATCCTGCAAAAAAACTATCCAAAAGATGTTGGACTTATCTTCAATGAGAGTCTTAATTGATAGATCATGTTAAGTTCAGAGTGAACAAAGCAATCAATTGTCTATTTTAAATGACATGAATTACGTCGAAAATTCTCCCAATATGGAGTAAAGCTCACTTGTATTGAGCCATTTTGAACCCAACTCTACTTTCATCAGAACGCTGGGAACTTAAGAAATCGAATTTTTATCTTTTTGAGGAACTAAGTAAGAAGATCATGAAATGGATTTGCGGTGATATAGACTATAAAGAAGCAATGTGAACTCTCAAATTTCAACTCCTAAATTCAACCTCACTACGAACTCTTTGAAAAACTCAATAAATTTAAACACGGAAAAATTGTTTTTTTTTGTGTGTGTTTTTTATTGTTTTATCGTTTTTCCACTTCCTTCTTCAATTGTAACGTTGTTCGAAGTCATGTCTGTTAATTTTTGTTAGTGTCATGGTGCAATCATCCTTGTTGTATTGCAAGTGGTGCGAAGCTCAGCTTCGCCTCTGTGTCATTTGACTCAATCTTTTAAGCGTAGCAATTTCATTAGGAACTGTTGCCAAGTGACGAGCAATCAAAACAACTCAAAGAATTTACGACGAAATTGCGAAGAATAGACGCTGATGAAGAAAAGTTGGCATCAGTTTGGTTGCAACTGGCAACTCATGTCAATCCTTTACCCGTGGACACTTGGATGGATATTTTAACATTTACATTGAGATCCTTAAAGAGCTCAGAGTCATCGCTACGCGTAAAGAAATACGTTCTTCATTTTTTGAGCAGAAATTTAAATAGCCGAATCATTCTAAACGAGCAGCTATGGGTGAAAATTATCAACATAATGTCGGTTTTGGTAGACCATTTTGATCTTTCTGATAATGCAAGTGATTTGAATATAGCAGTGCAAACGTTTCAATCGATTTTCGTGGAAGTGTTAACTTTAGAAGGATGTGATGATATGTTGCTGCTCATTTATAAAGTCATGAAAAGTAATCCAAAATTTTTTGTTACTGAAGTGCGTATTCAATTCGTGGAAATTCTCATTGTTCACCTTCGCCTTTATTCAAGAATTGGCTGTGAAAAACGATTCCTTATATCCACTGACATTTTTGTTGACCTTCTGGAAAGCCAACCGTATTTATTTTCTTTAGAAAAATTAAAGGATGTCATTTGCCTCATCGAAGAGTCATGCACTCATGAAGCTACCGTGTTAGCCGTACTATTCATCACTAAAATTATCAGGACTGATACTTGGGGGTTCATTGCCCTACGATTATACAATGCATCTTTGAAGCAAAAATCAGTCGGTACAGTGAAGGCTCCTATGATTGAACTGTACTGCAGTATTATTGACGATAATCTTTTTAGTCTGAAGGCAAGTTCAATGATCTGTGATACATTACTATGTTTAATGGAGCGATTAGATCTCGGAAATAGGACTATTGACCAGTCTGCTGTTAGAGTTATATTAAAGCTTATGAGTTCGGGAGAAAGAGATTTTTCCGACTGTTATCAAATTCTTGCCATTTGCTTAAGAAGAGAGAGCACAAGCGCGAACAAGGTAATTTCTGAGTTTATGCCAAATGTCGAATTGTTTTTCGCAAAACAAATTAATCTTATGCGCAACAGTAGCTCTGAACTGAACATTTTGAACTTAACTGAGACTGTGGATAAAGGTTTATATGTAGTTTCACTTCAATTCCTGGTTCAAAGCTTTGATTTTTTGTTTCTTTGCAACAGAATTGTTGATTGCAAATGGTTGAATCGACTTGCCATTTACATTGAAAGGTTTCAAGAGCCTGTGATTAAAACGGAGCTTGACCGTTTAAACAAACTATTTGGACATATGTCCCAACTGATCAATTCTAAAACTGCTAGATTGAACCGGGACGACTTAGGAAGAGTTTTCTCACAACTAGTTTCGAAAGTTCAATGGGAAAGATTACTAGATGAACACGCAACGTTAGTTTTGACACTCTATTTTGATGTTTGCGAAAGCTTCTCACATGAGTCCAAGGAAATTTTGATGTCCTTCGAAAAAAACCTTAGTGATAGTGACTTCCGTGGCTCTTCCTTTGAGAAAAAGTTCTTTATGACTACTTACCTTCAACGAACGCTTGCCTTAAGCGAAGTCATTGTCGCAGATTGTTTGCAGGGTCACGATAAATTCTGTCAAATGATGTTACTTTTTGACGCTTTGATTAGATTTGGAAATGCGCTGATCGATTTCGGGGAGCTAAATTTCTGGTCTCCGGAGCTTTACGTGAATTTGACCCAGTTTTCGACACAAAAGAAAGTTTTGCAATTACACCTGCTAGTTTCCGAATTATCGAATTGTGTATTAACTTTCAAAATTGAAAGTCTCTTAACTGTTGGGCTGAAAATTCTTTTTTGTTGCTTTCGAGACCAGAAAGATTGGAAGATCTTCGAAAGTGTGGTTAAGAGTGTACCGCCGTTCTTACAACATCAAGAAATCGTCGAGCAGGTCTTTCAGCAAAAAGTAGTTGGATCATCTCTTATTGAAAGCGGTGAAGATACAATTTCTCTTGGAAGAACATACTTAGAGCAACTGGTCATTAGTCTCTGTAGTCTGGCTGAACTAACGACAACAGGTTTCAAATTGAGGTTTTTCCCGAATGCTGAAAACTACTCTATGTATGTAGACTCATTTGGGTCGTACAGGAGTTCTGTGTTCCAGTGTCTGATATGCCTTGTTACTTTTCCACTGGGTGTAAAATCAAGAAGAATCATTGACTGTTTTGCCAATGCGATTCAAGATTCCAAATACGGAGTGAGTTGTCTGTGCGCTCTTTCGGCCTGTTTCCTTGAATGTCCTCAGCTATGTATAAGATCTGTTCCCATCATTCTGTCCAATATTTTTAAGGTCAAGAGTTCGAGGACAATGTCGGTTCCAGCATTGGATTTGATTTTTATGCTGTCTCAGGTACCCACTTTGCAGCACAATTTGAACACCGAAGACCACAAACAAATTCTTAGTGTAATTTTGCAGTTCGTTGATTATGAAACGTACTCAAAGTATTGTGTAGAAGTTGCTCTGAACCTAATTTGCGTTTGGTTCCTGAAGTGTCGTGTCGCGTATAGAGTTCAGCTTAAAAAACTGATTTTAAGAGAACTACAAAATCGTATTGCCGGAATTCAGCAACGGCTTAATCACGCAAATCATTCCAAAACGGCTGCCAAAACTACTGGGAATGAAAATAGTAGACATAACCACGCAAATCAAGAAACCAGCCGAGATAGTTTCGAAGCTACAGAGAAGATTACAACTAAATCCGACACAAATTCGAGTTTAAGTGAAATTCTGAATTGGCAATTAGATGCCCTTGAGGTTTGCATGGATGTAATAATTAAACACGTTTTTTGCGAAACTCTTTCGGAGCCTAAGCGGTGTGAGATTAGTAAGTTCTTGCTTGAGAACGGACAGTCAAAAACCTGGATTGTAAACAACAGAGTGGTTACTATAACAACAAGTGGAAACATCAGTAAATTACAAGAGAATGGCCTTTGTTCTGAATGCAACGAGAGATCAAGCGAGAGTTTGAAGGAAGAGCCGAAGCCAAAGACAGATCGACAGAGACATAAATCGACTCCTCAGACGCCTCATGGAAAGAAACCAACAGAAAAAAGCACCTGCATAGAAAGCAAGCGACAAAGATTACCTTCATTTTTGAATGCGATAGAGGAAGTCAAACACTGTTCTTGCTGGATCTCACGATGGGCAGAAGTGTACGTCAGGACCCCCACTGGGAACCTTTCCTACCTCTTTCGCACCCAGAGCCAGGGTGGCATGGTTCCATTAGTCTCTAGTGATTTTGGACTGGAAAACCTAACCTCACTTTTGTCGTCTGTTTCCACGAATGGCTCGGACGGAAAAGACATTAGAGTAATGTCAAGCTGTGATGGAAGTACGGAGTTGGGAGAATTGACTGATAGCGCTGAGTTGGAGAGTATATCTGACGGAAGTACATTTGTCATACCGAGCTTCATCGCCCGCCAGTCGATATTAGGAGCTGCATGGTGGAAGCGAAGAGTTTCGTTTGATTTTTCCAATTTGCTCAGGTCTCGTTCTCTTGACGATTTAACCGCTGATGATATGAACAACGGAAATAAAGCTTTGACATCGTTGCAACAAAGTCAGACCCAGAGCCGACGCGAATCCAAAGAAACACTAGTAAAGAAACGACATGCATCATCTGCAGTAACAACGGGACCACTTGTAATTCGACCTAGGCAAAGAACTTTGACAAAGGGACCAAATACCGAGACAAAATCCTCCAATTTTGATTTCAGTAATCCAGCAACTGTGTTTTACCAACTTTTCGGGACGCTAGTTCAGCAACCTAGCGAACGAAGTAAGATTAGGGATGGTTTTGAAAAGAAAGAATTCAACCCAATTTTTTGTCTTCCCGAAAACGAAGATGCCAAAGAGGAGATTAATTACCTTGACAATTGGCTGCCTTTTAACACGCACAAAGTTGGCGTTTTGTATGTTGATGAAGACCAAGAGCAAGATGAACGTGCGGTTTTGTCAAATATTTGTGGAAGCGACCGATACACCGATTTCATCAGGGGTCTGGGATCGGTTTTATTTCTCTCCGAATGCAACAAGGAGCAGAAAATATACAATGCAGCCCTGGACAAATCGATACAGGAAAGAGACGGAAAGTTAGCCATTTGCTGGATCGAAGAACTCTTCCAGATTATGTTCCACGTTTCAACTTTGATGCCGACTCCGGACCCTCAAGATGACGCGGACTGTAACAGGAAAAAAGCTCTCATAGGAAATGATGCCGTTCTCATCATTTACAACGACAGTAAAACACCTCGACTGACGCAGCCAATTATCAAAACAGAGTTGAATTTTGTGAGTATAGTAGTCACGCCTACAGACTCGAAGCGCAATTGCGTTAAACTGATTTGCAAGTCGGAATTAGAACCTTGGGTTCTGCATTCATCCCGTGAGGAAAAGATTGTCTCCGACTGCAACCTGGCCATGTATGTCCGTCAAATGGCCTTACATGCTAGTATGGCATGTCATGGTTACTTGTTCAAACAGAAAAATTTGGACTACACGTCTAATTGGCAGAAAAGGCTGGACATCATTCGCAAAATGAAAAGTAACTTCGCTGTTCCAGATGATGTTCTCCAATAGTGGTGCTTTAGCTTAATTTTGAAGTCATTTCACGTGAATCAATTTTCATAGATTATCTTTGAGATTTTTATAGTCTCCTTTCTAGTTTTAGACTTATATTTCGGGTTAATTATTGCAATTTAATTTTTTACTGTCTTTTTCTTGAAATACGTGAAAAGAGTGAAATAGGATTTGAATTTTAAGTTTGTTTTCAAAATATTCATACTCATGTTTTCAGATGTGCTGAGCTGAATCTATCATGAATCGATCTGAAGTTTTAACGTCATCTGAGGTGTCAGAAGCATCAACATCGCATAAAGTAGAACCTAGAGCTCGACTGAACAAAGCAGGTGACAGACGGGGTCTTCATAACAATCACTACGCCCTGCCGAAAATCAGTGAAGATGAAGAACAAAAGTTCACCGATCAGGATCTAGACCATAGTCTGCGAACTAAAAAGTTCAAATTCAATTTGCAAGGTTACAATGTGAGAAATTTTATACATGCTGTTATTAAAAGTCCCTTGGTTCAAGATTTGTTAACTGAAGAGTTTTTGGCTGGAAAAGAATCATCCGAATCAATGATTCCAAAGTCAGAGAAGACCGAGTTAGGCGATGGGGAGCCTGAAGCAAAGGCGATTCTGACACGATCACAAAAGCGCAAACTACCTAAGGAAGCTACAGATACAGATCCGTTTTTGGCTTTACTGCAGGAGAAATTTCCTGCGAAGCGTGAAAAGATTTCAGTCGAGGACCAGATGTTTCCATTTGGCGAAGAATTGGAAGACACAGACGATGATGACGATTATTTTCCTCCGGAGTACGAATTACCAGAAGCGTCTGAGCTTTTCGCTGACTTGGGTTGCAAAGACCAGTCGAATGTCGAAACAGCGGAAAACATTGCTTCGAGAACGAGAAAACGTCTAAACCTGGAACTAGAAAGCATCAACAAATTCGAGCTCCCCATGACGTTCGATGAACTTGAAATGGGTTGCACTTCTAACGGTGGATGTTTGTCCAATTTTAATCAGGTTGAAACGTCATCTTGTAATGATCTGAGTTTTTCGGCGCCGACTCCTTCTAGTTGTGCGGACGAAGACGACGTAACATGGAGACAGTGGCTACAAGGACTGCTATCAGAAGGTGAAGTGGAACACATGCCTCAAGAGTCGGACAACGATTCAGATCCAGACTTCGACTACAATCTTTGTGTCTATAAATCTGCATGGAAAGAAGATGAACTAGAAAAGGTTAAACGGCAGTTCGAGATTCCGCAAGAAGAAAAAGAGTTTTTGGTCCAAGAAGCTTTGAATTATTTGGGAATCACGAAAAAAGTAGACGTTCCTTCGATATGCCGAACTCTAGTATTGCCAAAAATAACGTATTCGAATTCGGTTAAGACGAGAAAAAGAAAGTATGATGATAGTTTGACCTTGGAATTGTTGCAGAGCACTTTGAAGCAACAAATGCAGATGTTTGTTCAGTTGTTAACTCAAAATTTTCTACTTTGTTACACGTTGAAAAATTGGAAGCATGTCTCAAATGCAAGTAGACAGATTGTGTTAGATCTGAAAAGGTGCAAAAAAGACGTTTTCGGACATATTTCAGTAATAAATTTGGAGTTGGCATCCAAAGTTGTAAGTTTTCCTTTCAATTACGAAATTCAGTCGAGAGTTGGAAAACTTCCAAATCAGCTTCTTCGTATTATTGTACACTCTGAAGTCTTCATGTACAGGGAGTTATTACCATACTGTTTCTTCAGACCTAAGAGGTTTAGTCCTTGTGAAGAGAAGGGCAACACTTGGCTCGACCCTGAAGATTGTGCCATTGCTTTAGGCATGTCAGATTTTGCTATGATTGAGTCCGCGAAAACGGGTCGCATGCTGTTCTCAGTAAGAACTGTTGCCGACCTCATATGCCATCATCTGTTACCAACCAGAAATCCACAGCGAATTTTACGGCGTTACTATTTTTTACGCGAGAGTGATATTCCTAATCCAGTCAAGTACCTAGAAAAATACAAAGAGTTACCTGTATTGCCTACAGATGTTGCGTGGATATGTGATGAAGAAGTTAAACCTCCTTATAAAATGCAGGTTGCTCATGCAGAATGGCCCTTGCCGATGTGGATGCAAATTTTGAAACACATTGACGAAGATAAAGGAATGAGTTTCGTAGAAAGCATTCAGAAAACATTAGTAGACTTTTCAGACCAGCTGCGAGCAAAATTCGAATCAACACAAGCTTCTAATAGTAGTTGTGGAATAAACGTGGAATTAATTTTGGGAGAAGACAATAATGAAACTTCGCAAGTTGACAGCGACAATGAAATGTCTGACGACAATCCAGAAAATAGTCACTCAATTTCGGCTGTTAATCAAGAAACTCTGAAGTATCCTCAAGAAAAATCACGAAACGAAGAAGACGAGCGTCCAAATGTAGTTCTGCCCACATTTTCGAGCTCACCCAAAAAGTTCCGGAAGAGTCCAGCCAAAGTGATCAGCGATAAATTGGTCCGAAAAGCTATGAAAACTTCAATTGGATGTTCGCCTAAAAAGATTATCAAGATGAGTTCACCTACAAAATCAACTAAAAACTTTCCAGATATTGTCAAAACGTCATCAGATGCCAAAGGTCAAATAGCAGCAAATAGGTTATCGAATTTTAGCAACAATTTTGGATCTTCGAATGATACCAATGTACAAAAGCGAGTGATTAGACGTCGAAAAAACTGGCAACAGAGCAAGAAGAACTACTCGTCAATGGTTTCATTTACGAAGCAAAGTTTCAACCCAGAACCGACACCAGAATTGGAAAGCAGAATTCAAAGCATGCGAGAGGAAATTTTGCTGAACATGCTCAATGGCCTTGGTCAAGAAAAATACGAAACATTTCTCACATTACTATCACAGTTGAACTTAAACGACGAAAGTTCACATGAAAAAGTTCGTGAAATCAGCTTGATTTTCGAAGAATATCCGAAACTTTATAGAGAAATTGCCAAACTGGTGAACGTTGAAATATCATTACTTCTTGGATTATATTTTGAGTTCCGCGCTTTTGAAAGAGCAAAACTGTTTTTGCAGAAAGTTGAAATGTGTTCAAGTGATAGTCCGAAGTTGTTCAACGTTATTTTGGATACTTTTGCGTCAAGTTCGATGGACGAAACTTCAATTTGGAACAATGTCACGCCCTTACTTGAGTTTAACCCGCTTCTTATTGACGAATTTAGTTTGTTTTTCAAAGACCAACCAATTCCTGATTTATTACGAGGACCGTTTGAAGAAATTATTGTCACTGAGAGCAGTGATTCAAAATCGGACTTAATTTCTTCTTCAACCGTATCGAGCAAAGAAAAACCGGCGGACCCTGTTTTTGAAGAATTTGTTCTGTTGGACGATGATGACGAGGCTATGGTCCGAGAGCGAGCTGCGCGAAAAGTTGAGAAACGCTCGAACCGAAATAGTTCGGCTCAAAACGCTTTCTTGTCCAACTGTATTGTGAGGGATTTAATGTGTGCCAAAATGGAACAACTAACGACGGGTAAAGTTGAGGTGGCTGCAGTTTCAGCCAAGAAAATGAAGAGACCTGCAACGCCACATACAGCTGCTATTTCTGTCCCGTCTCAGACGTGATTACACAGTGAACGAAAACAATATTTGATGCTCTGTTTGTTTTTGTTATTTACTATTTAGACAACTCGTGCATTAAAGCATCGATTGTCTTTTGTCTCTTGTAATTTTTCTTTTGGTTATCCCAAGGAAATAAATTGTAGATTAGCAAAACAGCTTATTTTGCATTTAAACAGTTCGTGTAAGTACGTTGAATAAATTATTTGAAAAGTAATGTAATGTATGAAAGTAAAAGGTATTAGGCAAAATACACGGTAAGCCAATAAAATCCCCATTTTCGTTGAATCTCGAGAACACGTTTAAACGACTAAATTATAAGCATGAACTATAGATTTTAAGATCATATTGAATTGATTTTGATTGAATATTGAATTAAGAAGTTGTTTAATCAATTTCGTTGTAGTTTTACGAAAATATTTAGTTATGCGGAGATTTTCTCAGTATGTGGGACTGATTTGGATGCTCTACAGCTCGAAAAGTGATGCTCTAAAAGTGGAAGGGAATAACGAGTAATTGAAGAGATCCGAAAATTGTTCACATGGTTCATATAAAAAGTGTTACATGTCTTCAGATCCGGTTTGAGAGATGACTAAAGGTACCACTTCGTTTGGTCAGAGGAACCACAAGGTGCACATGACGTGCAGAAGGTGTGGCAAGAGGTCCTACCACATCCAGAAGAAGAAGTGCTCCTCGTGTGGCTACCCGGATAAGAAGATGAGACGCTTCAACTGGTCCGAGAAGTCCAAGAGGAGGAGGACCACCGGAGTAGGAAAGACCAAGCACCTCCGCAGAGTGGCTAAGAGATTCCGAAGTGGATTCAAGGACGGAAAGAAGGAATTCTTCAAGAAGCCCGCAGTCGCCGCTGCACCCGCATCATCTTAGACCAGTCGTCTCTTCATGAAATCATAGATGGTTTCCTGGTCTTTTATTTGTGAAGCGGCAAACGAAGTTTATGAAGCTGTATGTAATTGTTATTGATGTCATTTAATTGAAATTGATAATTTACGACAGTCTGAAGAAACTAGTTTTACGCGCGTACCATGAGTGCAAGAGAAATATAGATTAACAACAGCTTAAATAATGTTATAATTGTGGTGGTCGTTGAATGGTTTGAAGTTCGGTATTTTAAATTCAGATTTAATTTAGATCTTAAGAATCGTGTATGAAAATACCCTTATTTTTGCTATTAGGTCTGAATAGCAAAAATGTGTTGCGCAAAAAAATAGTCTCGTATATTTAAAAAAAATTTTGAGCACGTGTTAGCATAAAGTAACTAGTCACGTGTTTAAAATGTATTGCGCAAAAAAAACAACTAGAACGACTTCTAATTTCGAAAGTTAGATCTCAATTTTAGGATTTCCCAGCGGAATAAAGAAGTTCACTTATTGATCTTGTTTTCTTAGATAGGTTAAATTTTATCAATAAAGTGTCAATCATAAGTTCTTGAAATTCAATTAGCTGTAATTTGATATGCTTTTTTCTTCGGCAGCTGAGAATTGTTTTTTTAAAAACTTTCGATCATTTTTTTCCCGATTTTGTTTGTTCATTTATTATTTCCAATCTTCCGTTCTCAATGTCAAGCAGACGAAATTAGTGATATGTTCGACAGTGAATAGTTAATGAATACAGTAAATACTAATTTCTTTTCTTTGCAACTGCCAATGAACAAAAAGAAGACATTTGCTTAGCCGTGTGGTTTTTCAAGTGTCAATGATTTTAGGGAAGACATTTATGCAGGCCGTAAGGAGTTTTTTGTCATTTTCAAAAAATATGTATTTTAAATTTAGTTCGTGCTCAAATTTGATGCGCGCTTTGACTTTATGCTCTCTGATTTTGAAAGTGGGCTCAATTGTTTAGATTTCCCAGCGGAATAAAATTACCGAATAGTCCACTTATCTCAAATTGAGTTAATTTAATCGAAAAGGAGTCAAATCATGAATTTCGAAGAGCTTTAAGGGCATTTTTGTTAAGAAATTGGAAGGTTGAAATTCTTTCCAAAACTTTTGCAACTTTCTGTTCGCTAAGTTTTACAGTCATCCCGCTTCAGTTTGATTTTAAGTGGTATGAATTTTCATTTTAATTTGTCATTTCACATTCATTAGCCAAAAGAAAGATAAATGAACTCTCCATTAGCCTAAAACGAATGCGGCGCAAAAAAATATGTAACTTTTGATTTGAAAAGTGGATTTTAACTTTCAGATCTCTTAGCGAAATAAAACAAATGACCGAGTGTGTTTGTTTCAAATTGGGTTTGTTTCAAATTGGTTATTACATTTTTTCTTGCAGCAGAAGGGAATCCTAATTTTTTGAAAGAGAATTGTTATGCCCATGGAAAATTTCCAACAACACAAAAGTTTTCACTCTTGCTTATTTTAGAAGAGAAACAACTACGGTATTGGGCGAAGTTAAACCTTTGAAATTACGCATTTCGTTCGCATCAGTATAACAACTTCAAAAAATATCAAACACGTACCTGCAGCTTTTATCGAGACATACAAAAACTTTGGTTCACCCAGTTTTTAACATTTTTTTCAACTTGTTTTTTTTATTCTTAGATAGCGAGGGTATTGCAATCGGGTACTAGACTTTTTTTCCCGTAAATAACTTAAGGCACAGGACTCACCTCCAAGATCCTGGATTCATTTTTTTTTTTTTTTTGTAATTTTACCAGCTCGGTTTGTTTACACTTGCGACATACTTGTGTTTGTAGCCTATTAAGTTTCCGTTGCTGAGTTGATAATGTCTGAGACTTAATCACTAGGTCGCAGGTTCGAATCTTGGAGGTAGACGAATTTTTGCTAATTCGAGGCTTATTTGTAGTCTTCTCCCAAGTGTTTGCGAAGCGAAGCTTTGCCTGTAAAATTTCATTTTTGTTTGGGTTTCTTTTTTCTCGGCTTAATAGGTGTCGGCATATTTTACACCAGTTTAGTGGGCCCCATATTGCATCGTTTTTCGAAAAAAGTTTTGTGTGCGTTTTTGAGGGGGGCGAGCTTAACAATTCTTTTAATAGTTTTGAATTTTTTTCCGAATTTTTAAATTTTTTTTCGACTTTAAGGGTTTCTGCTCCTGTCATATTAACTCCTGTCAAGTTCTCAGATGGTATTTTTTTACAATGTACTGATTTAATTTGTTTTAAGTTTCTAAAGTAGATGTTTTCTCGATTAATTTTTTCGATTTTTTTCCAAAATTTTTGACTATTTTTTTCCAGTTTTGCATCTCAAGTGGTGCAAAGGTCTGCTTCGCCTCTGTGCTTATGTTTTGCTTATGTTTGTGTTGTATCGCAACTAGTCATCAAATCAGAGTGAAGATTTTTTTGGTTCAACATCTTGTAAAACAGAATCACTTGAATCATTTGATAGGTTGTTTTCAATGAATTCAGATCTTTTGGCTTTCTAGGTTCACTTGGTTCAAAGGCAAAAACTGCAACTAGGATATCAAAGGTCCTCGGTTCGAATCGCGCCATGACCTGCTTTTTTCTAAACGGGAAACACGCCGTTTAAGAAAAATTATCGGTCTATTAGTTCTCTGCTTGTTTCTTTTTCTTGTATGTAAGGGAATTTCCTTAAAATGTTTTTGATTTTTCCTGTAATAAGTAAGTTTAGTAAATCTGATTTTTTGGTAATTCTCTATTTAATGTTTTTCGCCAGAAAGTTATTTGGCCTAAATTGTTTAGATTCATGTTTTATCGGCTTAGTGTCATAAGTTTGCGTCATTAAAAGGAGAGAATCAATTTTCATCCTTTTGTGTGCTTTCGGAGGTCGAGGGAGTAAAATTACGATTTACAGATCTTTCAAAAGTTTTTCATGGCAACAACTTTGTTTGCGGCTTAACGGGAGCTTACATAACTTTTGTCGGCGTTTACTGTTTGTTAAATGTTCATGTATACCTACTTTGCGCCCGCGTTTATGTTTCTGGAGTTCCGCGCTTTTGAAAGAGCAAAACTGTTTTTGCAGAAAGTTGAAATGTGTTCAAGTGATAGTCCGAAGTTGTTCAACGTTATTTTGGATACTTTTGCGTCAAGTTCGATGGACGAAACTTCAATTTGGAACAATGTCACGCCCTTACTTGAGTTTAACCCGCTTCTTATTGACGAATTTAGTTTGTTTTTCAAAGACCAACCAATTCCTGATTTATTACGAGGACCGTTTGAAGAAATTATTGTCACTGAGAGCAGTGATTCAAAATCGGACTTAATTTCTTCTTCAACCGTATCGAGCAAAGAAAAACCGGCGGACCCTGTTTTTGAAGAATTTGTTCTGTTGGACGATGATGACGAGGCTATGGTCCGAGAGCGAGCTGCGCGAAAAGTTGAGAAACGCTCGAACCGAAATAGTTCGGCTCAAAACGCTTTCTTGTCCAACTGTATTGTGAGGGATTTAATGTGTGCCAAAATGGAACAACTAACGACGGGTAAAGTTGAGGTGGCTGCAGTTTCAGCCAAGAAAATGAAGAGACCTGCAACGCCACATACAGCTGCTATTTCTGTCCCGTCTCAGACGTGATTACACAGTGAACGAAAACAATATTTGATGCTCTGTTTGTTTTTGTTATTTACTATTTAGACAACTCGTGCATTAAAGCATCGATTGTCTTTTGTCTCTTGTAATTTTTCTTTTGGTTATCCCAAGGAAATAAATTGTAGATTAGCAAAACAGCTTATTTTGCATTTAAACAGTTCGTGTAAGTACGTTGAATAAATTATTTGAAAAGTAATGTAATGTATGAAAGTAAAAGGTATTAGGCAAAATACACGGTAAGCCAATAAAATCCCCATTTTCGTTGAATCTCGAGAACACGTTTAAACGACTAAATTATAAGCATGAACTATAGATTTTAAGATCATATTGAATTGATTTTGATTGAATATTGAATTAAGAAGTTGTTTAATCAATTTCGTTGTAGTTTTACGAAAATATTTAGTTATGCGGAGATTTTCTCAGTATGTGGGACTGATTTGGATGCTCTACAGCTCGAAAAGTGATGCTCTAAAAGTGGAAGGGAATAACGAGTAATTGAAGAGATCCGAAAATTGTTCACATGGTTCATATAAAAAGTGTTACATGTCTTCAGATCCGGTTTGAGAGATGACTAAAGGTACCACTTCGTTTGGTCAGAGGAACCACAAGGTGCACATGACGTGCAGAAGGTGTGGCAAGAGGTCCTACCACATCCAGAAGAAGAAGTGCTCCTCGTGTGGCTACCCGGATAAGAAGATGAGACGCTTCAACTGGTCCGAGAAGTCCAAGAGGAGGAGGACCACCGGAGTAGGAAAGACCAAGCACCTCCGCAGAGTGGCTAAGAGATTCCGAAGTGGATTCAAGGACGGAAAGAAGGAATTCTTCAAGAAGCCCGCAGTCGCCGCTGCACCCGCATCATCTTAGACCAGTCGTCTCTTCATGAAATCATAGATGGTTTCCTGGTCTTTTATTTGTGAAGCGGCAAACGAAGTTTATGAAGCTGTATGTAATTGTTATTGATGTCATTTAATTGAAATTGATAATTTACGACAGTCTGAAGAAACTAGTTTTACGCGCGTACCATGAGTGCAAGAGAAATATAGATTAACAACAGCTTAAATAATGTTATAATTGTGGTGGTCGTTGAATGGTTTGAAGTTCGGTATTTTAAATTCAGATTTAATTTAGATCTTAAGAATCGTGTATGAAAATACCCTTATTTTTGCTATTAGGTCTGAATAGCAAAAATGTGTTGCGCAAAAAAATAGTCTCGTATATTTAAAAAAAATTTTGAGCACGTGTTAGCATAAAGTAACTAGTCACGTGTTTAAAATGTATTGCGCAAAAAAAACAACTAGAACGACTTCTAATTTCGAAAGTTAGATCTCAATTTTAGGATTTCCCAGCGGAATAAAGAAGTTCACTTATTGATCTTGTTTTCTTAGATAGGTTAAATTTTATCAATAAAGTGTCAATCATAAGTTCTTGAAATTCAATTAGCTGTAATTTGATATGCTTTTTTCTTCGGCAGCTGAGAATTGTTTTTTTAAAAACTTTCGATCATTTTTTTCCCGATTTTGTTTGTTCATTTATTATTTCCAATCTTCCGTTCTCAATGTCAAGCAGACGAAATTAGTGATATGTTCGACAGTGAATAGTTAATGAATACAGTAAATACTAATTTCTTTTCTTTGCAACTGCCAATGAACAAAAAGAAGACATTTGCTTAGCCGTGTGGTTTTTCAAGTGTCAATGATTTTAGGGAAGACATTTATGCAGGCCGTAAGGAGTTTTTTGTCATTTTCAAAAAATATGTATTTTAAATTTAGTTCGTGCTCAAATTTGATGCGCGCTTTGACTTTATGCTCTCTGATTTTGAAAGTGGGCTCAATTGTTTAGATTTCCCAGCGGAATAAAATTACCGAATAGTCCACTTATCTCAAATTGAGTTAATTTAATCGAAAAGGAGTCAAATCATGAATTTCGAAGAGCTTTAAGGGCATTTTTGTTAAGAAATTGGAAGGTTGAAATTCTTTCCAAAACTTTTGCAACTTTCTGTTCGCTAAGTTTTACAGTCATCCCGCTTCAGTTTGATTTTAAGTGGTATGAATTTTCATTTTAATTTGTCATTTCACATTCATTAGCCAAAAGAAAGATAAATGAACTCTCCATTAGCCTAAAACGAATGCGGCGCAAAAAAATATGTAACTTTTGATTTGAAAAGTGGATTTTAACTTTCAGATCTCTTAGCGAAATAAAACAAATGACCGAGTGTGTTTGTTTCAAATTGGGTTTGTTTCAAATTGGTTATTACATTTTTTCTTGCAGCAGAAGGGAATCCTAATTTTTTGAAAGAGAATTGTTATGCCCATGGAAAATTTCCAACAACACAAAAGTTTTCACTCTTGCTTATTTTAGAAGAGAAACAACTACGGTATTGGGCGAAGTTAAACCTTTGAAATTACGCATTTCGTTCGCATCAGTATAACAACTTCAAAAAATATCAAACACGTACCTGCAGCTTTTATCGAGACATACAAAAACTTTGGTTCACCCAGTTTTTAACATTTTTTTCAACTTGTTTTTTTTATTCTTAGATAGCGAGGGTATTGCAATCGGGTACTAGACTTTTTTTCCCGTAAATAACTTAAGGCACAGGACTCACCTCCAAGATCCTGGATTCATTTTTTTTTTTTTTTTTGTAATTTTACCAGCTCGGTTTGTTTACACTTGCGACATACTTGTGTTTGTAGCCTATTAAGTTTCCGTTGCTGAGTTGATAATGTCTGAGACTTAATCACCAGGTCGCAGGTTCGAATCTTGGAGGTAGACGAATTTTTGCTAATTCGAGGCTTATTTGTAGTCTTCTCCCAAGTGTTTGCGAAGCGAAGCTTTGCCTGTAAAATTTCATTTTTGTTTGGGTTTCTTTTTTCTCGGCTTAATAGGTGTCGGCATATTTTACACCAGTTTAGTGGGCCCCATATTGCATCGTTTTTCGAAAAAAGTTTTGTGTGCGTTTTTGAGGGGGGCGAGCTTAACAATTCTTTTAATAGTTTTGAATTTTTTTCCGAATTTTTAAATTTTTTTTCGACTTTAAGGGTTTCTGCTCCTGTCATATTAACTCCTGTCAAGTTCTCAGATGGTATTTTTTTACAATGTACTGATTTAATTTGTTTTAAGTTTCTAAAGTAGATGTTTTCTCGATTAATTTTTTCGATTTTTTTCCAAAATTTTTGACTATTTTTTTCCAGTTTTGCATCTCAAGTGGTGCAAAGGTCTGCTTCGCCTCTGTGCTTATGTTTTGCTTATGTTTGTGTTGTATCGCAACTAGTCATCAAATCAGAGTGAAGATTTTTTTGGTTCAACATCTTGTAAAACAGAATCACTTGAATCATTTGATAGGTTGTTTTCAATGAATTCAGATCTTTTGGCTTTCTAGGTTCACTTGGTTCAAAGGCAAAACCTGCAACTAGGATATCAAAGGTCCTCGGTTCGAATCGCGCCATGACCTGCTTTTTTCTAAACGGGAAACACGCCGTTTAAGAAAAATTATCGGTCTATTAGTTCTCTGCTTGTTTCTTTTTCTTGTATGTAAGGGAATTTCCTTAAAATGTTTTTGATTTTTCCTGTAATAAGTAAGTTTAGTAAATCTGATTTTTTGGTAATTCTCTATTTAATGTTTTTCGCCAGAAAGTTATTTGGCCTAAATTGTTTAGATTCATGTTTTATCGGCTTAGTGTCATAAGTTTGCGTCATTAAAAGGAGAGAATCAATTTTCATCCTTTTGTGTGCTTTCGGAGGTCGAGGGAGTAAAATTACGATTTACAGATCTTTCAAAAGTTTTTCATGGCAACAACTTTGTTTGCGGCTTAACGGGAGCTTACATAACTTTTGTCGGCGTTTACTGTTTGTTAAATGTTCATGTATACCTACTTTGCGCCCGCGTTTATGTTTCTGGACGTCTATTTGTTAAATTAAACATCAGTTTAAAGCCCTTTCAATCGTGGTTTAACGAGTTTTAGTAAATATGAAAAGTTTTTTGTGTTAAGAAAAATCGTTTTGAAATTTTTGGCGTTTTCTAATTTTGAGCGAGTAAAGCGAGCAAATAGGTCTTCTAATAGAAAAATAACTAAAGTTTAAGCGGCGACAAATTCAACTTTACCCCAGAAAAAGTTAATTTTGAACCTTCACGCAGTAATTCCTCGGCAATAAAATATAATTTTAAAGAAAGTCAAGAATAATTCTATGATTATATTCAGGTTTAATCTGAGAGTTTTCGCATCTTATTTTGAGACTAAACTTCACATGCTGGATTCAACAGAGTGAGAGTAGGAAGTCATAAATATATTTCCTAGTTGCAATTAGCTGAACTGGAACTTCATGTAATAGGCTATTTCGGATCTGACAGCGTCATCCATGATCAGATCTCTATGTCAAGAAAAAGGAAGCTGGAAATTTTTTCTCGGGAAGCTGGGGAACAAAAGATTTTGCACGAAAAAAGTCTTTGAGTCATGGGGTAATTGAGAAACTTAAAAATTGCAAAGTCACAGAATATCTTCTCTGCAAGATGCTTGACAAGTTATTGTTGACTGAAATGATGTGATTGATTGATTTCGTAAGGTTTTATTGTCTATATGAGGATTTGACAGTTGTTTGAAGCGTTATGTTAGTTAGTATATTTTGTTGCCGATTAGGTTGAACTAGATCAGGATGGCTTTCTTGAACAATGTCTGAGCTATATCCTTATCTCTGCTGAATGAATCCTGGGCTCGTCAGAAAAATGGCGATTGTTTAAAAAAATCGGTATAAATCAGCAAAATCGAACAATGGCGCGTTTTATAAACTGCAAGTAATAGTTCGAAAAATTTGCTAAAAAATTGATATTTTATCGACCATTTATCCACGAGGGAAAGGACCAATATACGAGCTGTTCAGCTCCATACGCTGTTGTGCTCCTGCTTAGAAATTACATGAAATTTATTTAATCATTTTTCTCAGTTGTTGTTTATTTTGATTATTCAACGTAAGTTATCTCATTGATGTCATTTGCTTAAACTCTAATACCACTAAAAGATCACAAATTTGTGTTTTTCAGAATGCAAAATGAACAAAAAACGCGAGAAGAAGTGAAACCCCAGCAGAAGGTGACGACTAAAAAGCAGCGAAGACTAGAGCGCAAATTAGCCAGTGGAGTTCCAAGTGCAACCTGCGACGCTTTCGAGAAAATCAACTACTTGCACCAAGCAGCTTCTTATCTTTCCTACCAAGTACCTGAATGTCCTGAATTGGGAAGATACTATATGTACAATGTCAAACAACTCTGTCAGAAGATGTGCCTCAAAATTGACCCAGCTATTAAGCGACTGTCATGCAAGTTCTGTCACACATTTTTGAAACCTTTAGACAACGTAGAGCTGAAAATTAAAGAGCACGGCAAGCGAAAGTTTTGTGAATTACATTGCAGCACATGCGGACAGGTTAAACGTTACCCTTTAGAGCATTACAAAAAGCAAAAAGCCAAGAATGATCGAAAAAAATATATCGATGCCAAGATTGCGTAGAACAAATGCTTCCTTCTCATTGAAGCATTACTCATTAACTAAATAAATACTTCAATTTGTAGTTTTATTTGTTGTCTGTTATTAATCTATTAAGAACTAAGTTTCCTTGTGGCTCCAACGAAGAAACTGAAATCCGATGGAACTATCGCCAAGACTATTAACGTTTTTCTCGATCCAGTCATGTCCGAGTTCCTGAAATTTCAGGCGATTCATCCACATCACAATTGAGAGTCCCTCTTTGAATTATAAATAGGAGTTTTGTTCGCGGTATCCAGCGTTCTTTATTTCTGCATCTCAGATTCTTCGGGCTGGCAATATTTTCGTCTTTTTCTTTTTATTTCCTCGTTTTCTTTTACTTCTTTCCATATCAAATTTTCTTCTTCAAATTAAGGCTTATGATAAATTAAGGCTCATTGAAAAAACCGCGTCAGCTTTATATAGTTCGTTATCTCATTCATTTTGATTTCAGAAATTGAAATCAGTTTAAATAATGTGAAAAGGAAGTAGCAGACTTATCTACTCGAGTTATGAAAACGGAGGTACCTTGCTATGATACCAGTACAGAAAGTGTACCTATGAGCAGCATAATTCACGAAGCCGATGATCAGTCCGAAGAAAATAGCTCCGACGCAAAAATTGAAGCCCTTGTGACTTTCTCGTTGTCGAACAGAATACAAAACGAAAACAATAACAAGGAGGCTGACGAGAAGGAAGAAGGTGAATTGGTCGAAGAAGGTGAAATTTTGTCTTCTGATTCCGAAGAAAAGGCTACACATAAAAGTAGTTCTAATGAGAAGATTGAAAAGATTTCCAGGAAGAGAAGTGGATCTAATATAAGTTCAACAAACGAAAAAGAATCCGTTTCAAATTTTGGATTCCAAGGTGAGCTGCCGACCGCAGATAAAGGAAAGAAGCGAAAAATTGACCCTATAATTTACGATGTTCTAGGCTCAGAAAATGGATTAGGTAATCATGAATCTTACAATGATGGTTACTTACCTATGAAACATGCATATGTGAGTCAGTATTCGTATGTAAGTCAGATTGACGAATCTGTAGAACAGCTGAGTCAAGAATCAAGCGATTTCGATGACTTACGGGAACGACTTGTGCGAAAGCATGCGTTGCAGCATAATAAAATCAATATGCAACCTCAAACTCAACCCAAATACACATACCTCAAAAGAAGGCTAAAATGTGATAATGATGACTCCTCATCGGAGGGAGAGATACAAGAAAGACTTTCGAGCAAGGTGAAAAACCGCCGGCGGAACTCGGAACCACGAAGTGAAATTGTTAAACTAAAGTCCCAGGTCAATCGAAAGTTCACTTTTCCGAAGGGCAAATTAATACATTCATCATTGGATGGGGAAATCAAAGATGATGATTTGAAAGTTTCTACGAAAGTAAGTTCGAAAAATTCCAAAAAAGACAAAAAGAAAAAAGACAAGCGATGTGAGTCGACAGAGAGCGAGTCTCGAAGCTCTTCTGTTGACAGCAAATCCAAAAAGTTCCGCAAGAAAATGTCGAAAAAGAAAGCAAAACTAAAAAAAAAATTGGATAAATTGCAAACAGAAGAGCCCAGTGCAAATTGTTGTGAAAATGTTGAAAATGAACTTGATAAAAGTTTGTCCGTTAAAGTATTACAATATGACAGGGTATTTTCTGATAAAACCGAAAAAACAAAGAGTGCAGTATCTCACAAACCTACCACACCTAGTCCTCGTAAGACTGGTATATTAACGAGTTCGAATACTATAAGTATCGGAGAGAAAAAGCCCAGTGCCTCTAACACTTTGACCGACTTTTCAGTGCAAAACGGCTGGGCTAATTTGGATTTTTTAATGCAACAGTTTGTGGATTATCAGTTCAAGGCTCTCCAGGAGCAGCAAGAGAAACCCATTCACTCACCCGTCGGCCCAAGTTCAAAGACAGCGAATGTGGAAATAGAGATTTCTCCAAATGGTGCAGCATCAGCTTTTGAAAATCATCAGAAAACTGAAACATATTTCAACAGCAAAACATCTTATTGCGAGTTTGATAATCAATATTTGAAATCTCAGTATCGAAGTTCTAGCGACAACGAGCAAGACTCGCTCCTAGTTGAACCTAAAAGCGCTAGCTTTTCCAAAAAAAACCATCAACTGAAAAACCGAGAAAGTCTATACCATTGTGGGTTGGCGAGTTTCGTCAATGAAGAAAATCTGACCGTGTTGACCGATCAGGACTCGAAGAAAGAATCAAATCCAAAAGTCTGTTTAAATTCGCACGAAACCGTCTCATCTGCAGATAAAGCTCCATGTTTGGATGTGGATAAAGAGCTGGATATTTTTTTAGAAACTGCCCGAAATCAATCAGAAATTATAAATGCGCCGTCTTCGTTGGATGCATATATTCGCCAAGAGAAACAAAAAACTGGAGCTACTAAACATCGGAAAGAAGAACATCAGAAGTTGCCAGAATCAGAAAGGCAATGTCCAAAAAAAACAGTTCCAGTTCAGTATTCACTGAAACACATTAATATGAATCCAAATCATGTAGTGGAAACAGAGCAAAGAAGATTTTCGCTTTCTGACCAATTTCGTCAACAAAGGGCTCAAACGACTAGTCCAAACATAGCTATTACATTAGACATGCCAGAGTTCATATCTCCTGTCCAAAACACAGCCCACATGTTTGAAGATGACGTATTTCTACGAGAAACGTATGGCAGAAGCAATGCCAAATCGACTGAAGCTAATTGGGTTCCTGAACCTGTTGAGATTTTCTCTGAAGAGGAAGTGGCTTCATTCAGGAATTCCTCGATAGAACGAGAGTCCTGTAATGAATCATTTGAAACTCCTACGAAAACTCAAGTAGATCAAACAACAGCAATTCCCCAGGTAGTCGCAAATTATAAGATTGCAAAAGCGTGCTTCAAGACTCCTTTAGAGGTCAATGCTACCGAATGTGATTCAAACTCGGGATTTGAAAGTTTGACTATCAGTCCTCAAAAACAATTCTACGACTCCGCAAAGGTTGCATCCCAACCTAACTGGTTTCCGGCACCTTCGGACAAAGCCTTGAATGAACCCTTGGAAGACGAAATTAATAATATGAATACGGATAAAATTGAAATTCCAGAAAGTATCAAATCCATGTTTGCAAAAAATCAGGTTTCACAGAACGATCTTATTGCGTCGAGCTCAGTAGATATTTTGTCCAATTTAAACTCCAAATTGGCAAAACATGGAGATGAATTGAATGAATCTTTTGAAAGCGCTGAGGCCGAATCTGATTCAAAAGATGAAGTAAAAGGTACTTATGAGCCGTTTCTAAGAAACCTGAAAATCAAAAAGTTTGCGGACGAGCAAATTAGTCTTAGTGGCTTACCGGATCCACGATTGTTGGCTTCAAATCGAAAACTCCGAGCATCAAGTTTCGCCAAATACTTCAAGCGCATGAAACGTTGGAATAAAGACTCAGTAATAGAACGTTCGAGGCGACCTCTAAGGAACATCAAGCCTATTAAACTCTTAGACGGAGATTTCGATTCGACTCCTCTTCCACCATACGAAAAACTTGATTCTAACACTACTAGTGTATTAGCTCAAAATGACAGTGTTGAAGTACATGGCATGTCGCACGATTATGCTCAGGCTAACAATCACAAGTCAAAACAAAGAAGTCCTAGAGTAAGAGAACCGGAATTGAAAATAGTTGCATTTGATAATTTTGGCGAAACACCTGTTTTGGATCCCAGGCTGTACTGCCAAGTTGTTGTTATGCGAATGCTGGTGAATGACTTCATGCCAGTAGAATTCACAATCGACCTATTCTCGGAAAAAGAAACAAAAAGTAACCAGGTTCTATCTAGTTTGAGCTTAAACGTGGTTAGTAATAGTAATATACTGGGTGATCAAGCTCTAGGGTCTCAGCTTTTGCAGCCGAATCATTTTGACCCGTTCAGTTTCTCGCCACCTCCAAATTTGAGTACAGATATTAGCCCACCAATGCCTGCATCCGTGGCAACCCTAGCGGATCCCAGAATACGATCTGGAAGGGTAACTAATCCACCAGTGATGCCAGTGCAGCTCCACGGGGATCCGAGTAATACAACAAAGCTTAGAGAACCAATCTTTAACCAGGATAGAATGCCGGAACCCGAAGTTACACAAATGGCAACAGCTGATATTGATTATAGAACACTTCCTCGAGGAACCATTTTGAGCTCGTATCCACAATTCTCCGGTCCACGACACATATGCGCTCCCTCTATCAATCCCAAACTCCGTCCAAATCATCCAATGTTCAGTGTTCCCATTGCTAAAACAGAATGCGTAATGCCAAACAGAGACGTCGACATGAGAATAATGAATCAGAGTGATGTGGCAACGCATCAAACAAGTAGCATCGTCACAATGAACCAGCAGGGAAATGCACATAGCTCAAGTAGAAATAAAGATCAACCAATCCTTGCCTTGCCCTCTAATGGCAGTGAAGCTGACCGATTCCAACCAACAAACAATCTTGGGCCAATCATGTTTTCCTCTAACAAGCAAAAGCCAGAGCTATCAAATACTCGAGCGAACGTATCAAGAACTCAGTCAATGCCCAGAAAGCTTAGTAATTACAATCCAGCTTCTAACAACAAAATAATTGAGTCCGCGGATTGTCAAAACCGCGCTAAACCGCCTGGAAGAGCAAATAATTTTAATCCGATGACACCGGAATTTGAATTCTCTACATCTAGCTACACAGTTGGAACTGTTTCAGAGCACTGGGATGAACCCGAAATGTGTACAGCTAAGCCGTCGCCTGAGATCAAAAAACCTAAAAAGAACCCATTAAAGCCAGAGTTTGATTGAAAATTGGGCAACAAAATTTTCTGTTAGTTAGAATTATTTATATGGGCCTCTCAAATGCGGGTTCTTTCTTAAACTATCTACAGCAATGATCAATTCTTTCATAATAAATTATTATGTTGACGATTTTTTCTAAGCTTCTTTTGAGATGGGTTAAAATATGCCGGACTAGCAAGAATAAGTTCCTTCAGCTTAATTGTTTTTTGATTTAACTAGTTATAATTTATGCATTAAGTTATTGACCTTTTGCTTGACATATGTTTGAGAAGTTGGCATCTTTTCGAAAACACCAATTTAATGTCATTACACTTGCGATATCAAATGTTTTATAATTGCTAACAAGATTTTTTTCCTGTTAGCAACTTCGTCAAAATTTGAGCTTGAACTTCTATTTTCAACTACTGCCTTCCAATACCGTATGGCATTGTTTTACTTTATTTTAGTTGTAGTGTATATTTATATATATATATATATATATATATATATATATATATATATATATATATATATATATATATATATACCAGCAGGTGTTTTGAATAGTACTTTTTTGTTTTGCAAGTTTGTCGTAACTGGGAACTAAACTTTTTTCCTTGGACAATTTTCGTTATAAATTTGCAAAAAATTGGACTTGCTTCATTATAGAACCTGAGCAGCTGTCAGGATCTTTCCTCTTTTGCTTTGTGGTAAAGTGTGTTCTTCTGCATCCTAAGGTCAGGAGTTAGAATCCCGGCCTGATTTTTTTTTTATTGTATGAAATAGTTTTTCTTGATACGTTTTTTTTAAATCTTCGGGCTATCGTTTGGCTTGTTTCCAAAGTCTGTTTTTCTTTTGATTTAAATAATTTTGACTATGATTGAAAATCGGTCTGTAATTTGTATAATTACCGATTATGATTAAATTACTTTTTCGCGTAAATGGTTTCGGCGTACTTTTTATCATATGTATCATCTTATGTATCGTTGTTTGATTAGCAAAAATAGATGTTTATGCTTTTACAAGATTCAGAGGTGAGTTGGAAGATAAGGCGTTCTCGGTGAAAAAGTCAGGCGCCTTAAAATTTAATCGTTAAAAGTTTTTTATGAAATCAATAATTTTTATGGCAATTTTGTTTCCGTTGTCGCCTGCGTTGATATACCTGTGTAAAATTGTACCAATGCTGACGTTTTGAAATATTCTTTTTGATTTTCAAATTTTGTTTTTGTGTTCATTTTGAACTAATACAAATGTCAAATTTCGAAGGTCATCTACGGTTTTTACCATGGGTATGTTGAAATGAGATACCATGGGTATCCCATTTTTCCCAACGCTTTTTTTTCAAAATCTTTCTGTTCCATTGTTATTTATCAACATATTTCACCCTGTACGTATAAGTTTCCTCTGAATGGATAAGTAATGAAAAGTGCAGTAATTTTTTGTCGCGATACTGCGTTTTTTCAAAATTAGAATTTTTATTAGAAAATTATAAAAAGCCATTTTTTATCCTTGAACTTATTTATAATATGTGAAGTGGAATTTTGTCCTACCAGCTTCTGGTTTAAGGTTTATGTTGTTGACCTGATACTACGATGATCTATAGCTCAGTAGTTTTAACATATGACCATTTTCGTTAAATTTGAGAGTTGACCGTTTTGTTGAGACTGAAATGTATCGTATTTCAGATGTAATTTCTAAGTGTATGTTCATAGTTTTAGACAGAATGAGCTGGTGGAACAGTATTGTCAAAATTCATCAGAGAAAATGTGCTTATGAGATGTGAGTCGTTAAAGTAATGTTTTGAAAAATGTTCAAAATAAGTAGTTTTTAGTACATTGACACTCTTTTTATGTTTCTGTTGGCTGTTTTTAGAATTGTCTCATGTCTCATTGTTAAGCGTCAAAGCACAAATCGAAGGCACTTTTTAAGCCATTATTTTTTTTCGTTTTTATTCCGGAAAAATTGTTCACGCTCAATTTTTTTTCGCGGTTCGTTCGACTTCATTTTTAAAGTTGTCTTCAACTCAACTCAAATGGTTCTTGAATTGAAAGAGCTGTGTCTGTTGGCTATGTTTTGAGGTTTTTCTGTTGGCTATGTTTTGAGGTTGGCTATATTTTGAGGTTTTTGACTAATTGTTTCATCTACTTGCTTAGTTTTGTAGTGTTTGCCAGTTGTTTTGGTTTTCAAGGTTTTTCAGTTCGATATTGAAGTTTTCATGTGAGTCATCAGTTTTTTGAGGATAGAATTTTAACTATTTAAAAATTTCTATGCGGGACTGTTAACTTCTTTCTGAGCACTAAAGTTAGCATAAGGTATTTTTCAATGCGGCTCTTTCAAATGCTTAATATAAGAAAAGACCTGAAGATGAAGCTACAGACCCAGTTTGAAGCTGCAGAATCATTTTTTCTAATGTGTAATATTACGGTGTGTTTCTGAGGCCAAATATGAAGCTCCAGGCCCCAATTTAGGAGAAACGTCCTTTTTCTGAAATAGTTCTAAATTTCACAAAAGTTTTGTTTTTTCTTCGTTCAGTTTTGGTTTTTTTTTTTGAAAAGATCTTATGTAAAGTTTCAGAAAGCTTCAGCATTTGGCATGCCCTCTTATCAAAGCTAATCAATGAGAATACTGTTTTTTTTACAATTTTGAAATATAAATTGTTTTGCTGATATTCGAGAACCTTAAATTTCAGGTGATTCTTTTAGAAAACAGGAAATTCCTAAGATTTTGTTTTTCAGGTTACGGTTAAGACTTTTTATCCACAAGGGAAACACTAACATATGAACTGTTAAGCTTTTTACTGTTCAAGTGCAAGAGAACAAATTTTTTTTCCCTATATTAATAAAAATAATAGTATTATTATATTATATATTATATTAATAATATTAATTAATATTTTTTTCTATATTAAGAAAAAGGTCTACAAATGCTTAAATAACCACAGAAGTGCATTTATACATATTAATGAATTTGTGAATGCACATAGGTATTTATGCGTTTTTGAGCTCATTCATCTGGTAGAAGTTAGTTAATTTGCACTCTCCCATTACAAACGTGAAACAGGCGCAAAAAACTGATCGATTTCTAGTTTCGCAAGTAATTTTAATTTTTAGATTTCGCAGCGGAATAAAAAAATACCCATCCATCTAGTTATCTTAATTTGATTATCTTTATCAAAAATGTGGCAATCATAACTTGTTCTTGGAATTTAAAGAGCTGTAACCTGATATATTTTTTTTCATCTAAATTTCTGCTTACTTTCTTTTGGCTAATTTTTATGTGGCTAATTTTTGAGCCGAAAAAAAACAATTATTAGGTGAAGAGATGTTTCCATTCTGAATGATGTTTCTTAAAGTTCAGTGAAATTAAATTTTAGGTTGGAATGTCATATAATGCTCTGAATAGTCTTCAGAATCTGATCACATCAGCGACGTTTGGATCTGGTTTCAACAATCAACTTGGCAATGGAAAGCTATCAATAGGGACTAGTTCAGAGAATGGTGCTCGAAATGCAACCCAAGATGGCTCTGTGGAACCGCGTGATTGCCTTGTTCCACCAATTTTACGCTGTTCTGAACATCCTCAGCTCAATAAAAGGGCAACATATAAGTACTCTAGTTTTTCCAAGGCCAGTCAGCAGAAAAGTGTGTTATCAAATTCGAGGAAAAGAAAACCCACAGAAGCAGTAAATATCGACAGAGAAAAAGCTCGTCAAACATGCGATAACGCGGATCTCAATACGGAACCCAGATGTAAAATAGTTAAGTCAAAATGCAATATCAATAAAAATAAAGGATCAGAGAAACTGCCTGAAACATACTTATGTAGATCCCAAATAACGCATACTTCTGCAAACACGACTATTGCTAGAGGCCCAGACTTTACTGAGATTATGAAACGTGCTTGCCTCATGAAACAATCCAGCTATCAAACACCAGCCAACAAGTTCAATTCAGCTGACACAAGCTCGGTTAAAAATTCGCTGCCTAAGTCTGATGTCTGCCAGACGAAAAAAGACGCAAATTCAAGAGAAAATGAAAGATTTGTGGATAAAACCTCAGAACTTGTATCTGTGCGAAAAAATTATAAGTTAGCATCTGAACAAAATCAATGTGCACGTGCATCGCCTGATTTGATAAAAGTCGTGCCTGATTTGTCAAAAATTGCCCGCTTTTCGAGATCTAAAGAAGAATTAGTCGATTCATATTCAGATTTTGTATCTAATATTCAATTTGTACCCTATGTGCGTAAAACTCAAGAAGAGGCGGATCAGTTACACCTCAATGATGCTGAGAGAAGTTTTGAAACTTTGAATGAAAGTGCGCTCAGTTATAACCCTGAGCATAGTCGCGTACCAGAGGCCGAATCGGATGGTTTTAATGCTGAAAGTTATCTAAAGCAGAAGTCAAATACGGGACTTAATTCGAGATTTCAAGTTGACGATTCAAGCTCATCGAGAATTTTACCTCTCTCTGATCAGGCTTTGACGCAAGCTCACTTGCTGGGACTTTCGTTGAATAAGCCATCAACCAATAGCAAATCTTCATATGCAGTCGATTTCAAACTCAGCGTGGTCGAGTGGCTTATTGAAAATAATATGAATACGTGTTCAACAGCAGAGAAGTTTCAAATTAACCGAAAGCAGGTATACAGTTGGTACAAAGATCGGGAAAAACTCAAGTCGTGGGCTACTAAAACGATCAAAAAAGGGACGAATAATAAAGGACCGTCGCGTAGATTGGTCAATAAATGTGAGTGGTCTAGGTACAAGCAATTAGATGATCGAATATTCAACAGATGTGTGGTTGTCAATGACTTGATTACTGTGAATAACCAGGTTCTAAGATCTGTAGCAGCGGAAGAAGCGCGTGTACTGGGCTACAAAGAGTTCAAGGCGTCTTACAACTGGCTGAGTTTATGGAAAGAGAGAATGAAAAAGAGACACAATTTGAAAGTAGTAATCAAGAACAGACAAATTATTCAGTGGCAAAAACCTCCTTAAGCTTTCTAGTTTCACCGAATTTATCAGGCCATGTAAATCATACGCGATGTTAGAGATTTAAGATAGTTTTTAGTATCAAATAATTTGTACTTCTGTTTGGATTTCAGTTGAAAGTTGATTGGAAGACAGGTTTTAAAAGTTATGTGATCTGACGTTTTTCATTCTTCAGGTTTTCGATGTGACTTAAACAATGTTGCGGGGTTCGCAATCCATGGGCAAATTGATTATCAGGCCGAGCACGCTTAGTTCAAAAATTTTACCCTATGTTTCCAAAACCAGTGTATATCATTTGATTAGCAGGCCAGTCACATCTTCGAGACTAATTCACCAAAGTAGAGTTTCATTAAATGTAACAGAATCATACCAACAGAAGTTGACAGAGTTGCAGTATTTGGGTGCAAGTCAGAAGAATGATACGTGGAGACCTCCTTTGAGAATTAAGTCAAAATCAGGACTCCTACGCAGGCTCAAATCTGTATTTCTACCTGGAGTGCACGAGTCAGAGCTGATGCTGAAAGTGTACAATGACATCACTGAAAATGCGGATTTGTTTCAAATTTGGTCACATTGTGGAATGCCGGATAGGTTTACCTCTTGGATCTACATGGTCTACATGCACGTATGGTTGTACATTATAGCCTTGGAACAATACGAGGGTACAAAACGGTGCAGAAATTTTCTCATAAAACACATGTGGGCTGATATCGAAGACAGGCGACGTCTTCTAAAAACAGCGACATTTTGGCGAAAATCGGATTTGCAGAATTTAAATCTGGTTTTTCGGAATTTCATTATGCACATGGACATTGGTTACTTGCAGACTGATGTTGAATTGGGAGCTGCAGTGTATAAGTGGATCCTGAACAATCATCACAAGGGTTTAGATGGCAAGCTAGAGGAGGGAGTTCAGTTGAAAAATACTCACGTCAGTTCGACGCCCGATGTAACCCTAGAAGGCGTAGAGCTGTTAGTGAAATATATTCGTTTTCATGCCAAGTACCTCACAGAACTGCTTCCAGAAGACCTTCTGCTAGAGAGAAGTCTGATCAACGAGCATTTTGACCCTGAAATTGACAAAGAAACTGTTGGATGGAAACCTTTGCGATTTTTCTTGAATCAAAGAGACTAACTTTTGTTGCCTTAGAAAATAGCTAACGATAGGTCTTGGATAATTTAGGTTTGTTTTTCATATTTTGTCGAGGTAACGAGAAAAGGTAATTGGGTTTTGGACTTCATTCCTTTTTGTGGAAAATAAGTTGGCTGGAGTAAGCTCTTTCTTTTCGCAAGCTCACTACTCTCCGAGATGATACCAAAACGTTTTTGTTCGCGGTCAAAATTTGTCTCTTCTATACTCTGAAGCTGTAACTGGTTCAAATTTCAGATTCGATCATGCATCTGTCTGCTTTGGAACCCAAAATGGAGATGATCAAAGCCATCCTCATCCTGGACAATGACGGCAAAAGACTATATGCCAAGTACTACGACCACAACCTCGCGTACGGAATCTCGGGAGCACCTCTTCCTCCCACGCTGGGGGGAATTTCTAACCCCCCTCAGGGGGAGTTTGAGAGAAAATTGTTCCAGAAAACTTACAAAGTAGGTTTTTAAAAGTTCAATAAGAGTGAATTGAATTATCATTCAACTGAAAAGTGTAAATCATTTGAAAAGGAGATTGCAGAATGTAGATTTTTTACGTTAGTTGTCAAGTTTTGAATGATTTTTTGTAAAAACATGAAAATTTTACAAGGAAATCTACTTGTGAAGACCACTTCATTTATTGGCGTTATAGTTTATTCTTAACCCATGATACATTTTCAATTCCAAGTAGTTGGATTTAAAGCTGTGCGCAAAACGTATATTGAATCAGGGATCCTCTTATCAAACTCGAAGGACACATGAACTGTAATTTAAGAAAATTTTATTTTAAAAAAATTAAGTGTATTTTCTTGATATTTATCAAAATGGTTTACCAAATTAATTTTCCGAGCTTTCCCTAGCCTCTGCAAACATCCTGCTTGACAAAATTTCCTGTGCAACTTGTTTGACATAAATATTGATTTTAAAAGAACCGGATGGCGTTTATATTACGACCACGTCACGAAGGACGGGAAGGAACTATGGCGTACGAGTTTTTTTTTCCACGCAAATTAAGGTAACTTAGAGAAAGCTCGTAGATATTCAAATCTCGTGTAAATTAGTATGAAACTTCTTGCACATTTTTTGAAATTTGTTTTTGAAAGTCTGAATATAATGAAAAAGGTTTCATATGATACCACACTCGATCCTACGAAATTTCTTTGACGTAACTTAAATCCTCGGGAAAAGTCGATTTTACGCCATAGATCCATCTCACTCTTCTAGACATGCAAAAGGTGAAGGAGATGTATTTAAGTAGGTCCAAAAAGGGAAAGATTATTAAATGGATCCTGAATGAGTGTTTTGCCAACATTGTTGTTCCGACTTTCGATACGAAAGTAACGGAATATTTGTGCTCGGGGTGGGTTTTTTTTTTCTTCAGACAAATTTCGACTTTTTAACTAGCCATTTTTGACGGAATTTTTTTATATCATTCGAAAGGTATTGTTGTCCTGAGCTCAAATTTGAAAAGATATTTCTCCTGTGATCGTTTTTTGTAAAGTTACGGGGGTTTAAAGATTGCCATTTTGGCCAATTTGGGACAATTAACGCGCGATATATTTCGTGCTATTAACGCGTAAGCGGAGAGTTAATCCGTCTTAGAAATCGTTCCAAATTGGTTAAAAGAAGCTTATTTGCCATAATTGGTTTGTTACAAGGAGCGAAATCTATCCTTTTCTACTTTATATGGCGTGTGGGGGGATGATTTTCATTTAAAAAAAATCACATTTTAGAAAAAAAAATTTTTTTTGTTTTATTTCATTGAGTTTTTTAATGTTATTACTGCTCCATAAACCTTAAAAGGCAGTCGGAACATTTAGGGCTTCGCCCTGATACGAGCAGTCTTGTTGATATTTCAAATTCATTGAGTTTTTAGGCCAACTCTGAAATAGTGATGTTGGACAATAACACTATTGTCTACAGAAGTACTGTCGATGTGTTCTTCTACGTGATTGGAAGCAGCGACGAGAACGAACTCATTCTGTCGAATGTCCTCAATTGTGAGTAGCTGTCATTGAAATGTCTTTTTATAACCATCGGAATGTTAGTGGTTTTATGATCTGTTTTTGTTTTACACCTCGCGGCTAAATTAACATTATTATTTTCAATGTTTCTCTCATAAAAATTCAGACATTGAAGGTGTCTCAATTAAATAGAAATTCAAAAGATAGTTGAAGCATGCATTTATTCAATCTAATCCCTAGAAAGAAATCCAATTTTCCTTTATGAACATGAACTAAAAACCTCGTTCCTTTCTGAAGGATCGTTCTACTTTAATTGATCGCAGAGGAACATAGAGTTCTTTTTCAGGTCTGTACGACAGCGTAGGTGCAATAATGAAGATAGTGGAGAGAAGTTCAATTATGTCCAACCTCTCGTCAGTCATTCAGATCATAGACGAAATTTGTGACTCAGGAATAGTCCTCGAGTGCGACCACACCCTAGTGCTATCCAGAACTGCAATCAAGGGCGCGGCTGCCGGCGGTGAAGGGGCTCCAGGGGATCTTCTGGCGGGAGACCAGACTGTTAGCCAGGTGCTGTCAAATGCAAAAGAACAGCTCAAATGGTCCCTGCTTCGATGAGCCGAAATAACTGGACTATAAATAATGTAAATTAATCATATCTGAAGAGTTGTTTTTCATAGTGTTCGGCTCCGTTGAGAGTGGTTATGTGACTCATTGGTATCTGTGATTTACCTACCATAAAGGTCAATTAAAATAAAAACTGATTAGTAGAATCATGTTTCACTCGAGCAAATTAAATCCGAAACAATTGATCGCAAAACTATGAGCCACTTTATCATGTGATATTATGTTATAGATGGGTTAATAAATTTGGCAATTAAATTTTTTATATTGCCTTGATTTGTAAATGTCACTGGGGCTAATTATATTGAAGGTGTTATAAATCGTAGCTAATAATTTGAAAGTTTTCAGGAACAGCTTTTCAATAATTTCAAAACCGTTTTTCTTGAATTAGGCTGGTTGGGCGATAATTGATCGGCATAAAATTAAGCTTGACTTCATTTATTTCGACCGCGAGGATTTTAAAAAAGTAATTTGAACAAAATAAAGGATTTCTTTAGTTAATTTTTCTTAGTAAAGTGCAATTGAGTTAGGTCAGAAACTGCAAGAATGAGAGATAATAATTGCTATAATAATTAGGAGTTGAGAAGTCAGTCCCTCATCAGCAGCGAGATTTTTTGAACAGCAATTTTTGTGTAATTTAATCTGAAAAACGAAAATTTTCTCGACAATTCTTTTTTTTAGAATCAGAGTTACAGCGAGAAGGACTTGACACACTTGGCCCTCCGCGAGTTTTCAAAAGCAAGGATAACACCTAAGGTATCGTTCCTTCCGAAACCATGGAAGAAAAAGTCTTGTATCCGCTTGCGTTACCAACTTATTGGCAATACGGGGAAAAGTCTTAAACCCTCTTGCATTTGCATTACCAAATTTAATCCCAAGTTTAGAGAAGGAGATGTTACCTAATTTTTGTCGGATTAGTTGCCGCTCGATAATGCCCAATAAATGATTCTGAACATTTATTGAATGCCAGTGATTGTGTTTCTGGATTTATTTCTTCAAATTGCACATCACTCCATACAAAATTTTTGCAATTTTTTTTGCATTTTTTTTTCTGTATCTAGTTCGAATGTTGCCCGTTAGGTGCAGATGTTAAAATCTTACTTGAGTCGAAACTTTCAACTTCGTAAGTATTTGCTAAAAGAAAAGACTAAAAAGTACTCATTTACGGTTGAAATTTAACCGAATAAATTCAAGTTTCAGTTTTTGTTAATGACGATAGCAAACTGATAAAAATTTTACTGTGTTACTTTTTGAGGCGATTTGGTTGAAAATTGTGTTGGCTTTCTTTAAGTATATCATGCGTCGTTCGAAAGTGGCAAAGCAGACATCCTTCAATTCTCCCCTGAAGGCTGCGAAGTTAGAGAACAGTTGCAAGAAACCGGAATTGGATGACAAAAGTAGTGTAAAAGAAAGTTCAGACACCGATGAGAAGCAGAAGTTAGTCTCAGAAATTAGTCAATTTCAGGAGAAGATTGAGAGTTTGTCAAGTCAAGGTGAGTCATTTATTGGGTATTGGTAAACTTTTTGGGCAATACTGGACTGCTCAATTTTGATGCCTTCGAAATCAATTCGTCCCATAGATATAAAAGCTTAGGCCAATGAGCTTTTGTCGAAAACCTTTATTTTCAAGTGGATCAAATATGACACAAATCAATCATATTTAGAAAGGTTAGTTCGTCCTTGTTTACCTACGTTGAATCTGAAATAATTTATACTAGATAATTTTGGTGCATTACTGCAAATTTTTGTCTGCCAAATTAGGCAATTCTAAATTTTGAATAACTCCAAAAAAAATGGATCTAAGAAGTAAAGCATTGCTAAATTATGAATAGGTAGAGATGGGATACTTGTCAAATGATTAACCTGAAGGGTAATAGATAATCAAAACCGCGTTGATTCTAGAATGTAAATCAGCTGATATGTGATAGTCACAACAACCTAGCTTCCCATCCTCGCATGCATCCCTTTAATTATTGGCCGTCCTTAATAATTTGTAATAAAGAATTGCCGAATCACAAAAAAAAATTTGAAGTTCAACGCTCGCGGACTAAATCCCCTCGATAAAATCCCCTCAGATATAATCCCCGGGGAATAAATCTCCCATAGGGCCAACATTTGTAGGACAAAATCCCCCATCGTGCCAAATCCCCCTAAAACAACATTCACCATTGTTTGTTTTGATATCCCTCACATTAGCATTAGGCAAAAATGCAACTCGGAAAACTAAATTACACTTGGTCACCATAAATAGAATAAAGATTAAAGAAGCATAAACAGAACTAAACTATAAATAGAACTAAAAGAAAGTATCAGTGAGATGTAATGTTTTTGTCCCCCTTTGTTACTCAAGACAAGTTTAATTTTGTTCTGCTTTTTATTTGGAATGGTAATTGTTGGTTCTGGGTATACTGGACGTGTTTTACAAATTGAACCGAGTTTTGCATCCGGAGGCAAACATTTAATTGCTAAATGGGGGATTAAAATGAGTCTACGCAAACTGTTAACACAGCTGTTAAATTAATCATTTTGACTATTTCATGTGTTAGTCTTCAATCAGTTAACCGAAACTTACCCTGAATTTAAGTTGAAAAATTTATTACCCCAAAATCAACATTCCTTGGTTTTAGAGGGCTCACTTTTTGACATGTAAAGGAAGATGGTTTTCTAAAATCAGGGACTTCTTTTCCGCGCTTCCAACTCAGACGAAGCGCGAGATTTTTGTCCCCTGGAGGTGAATTCAAACCTATTGTTCAAAATGTTATTTGAGTTTTGAACTCGCGCCGAATGGCTCAACTTATTTTCATTTCATTGACTTAAGATCTGTGCCACGTGGTTTTTTTTTGTTTTGGAAGCGCTCCTTTGTATAAAGTCAAAGAAAATTTGAATTTTCTAAGTTTCTAAAGTGCCACGTCAAAATAGCGATGCATGCCTTTCGGTTATCTGGAAGTCAAATTGAAATAGTTTTAATCGAAAACTCAATTCATTATGCCTCAAATACATACTTTTATATCCCTGGTTTATTAGTCAAAAAGGGGTTTTTTCCTTTTGGGAAATGTGTCCTTAGGATTTTCTGCGGGGGGTTCAGTCCTAGAACCGAAATTTTCGACCACCATTGACTAGCCTTCTAGTGCTTTTCGGCTACTAATTCTCTTTTAAATCCTATTTAGTGCCTATTTATATTTAATCTTATCCAATGTTTCGTCTTTCAGTGAAGTTTTAGGGATAATCATGTTTTTTTTTATCAGCTAAAAATTTTATATTTAATGAAAAATATTACGGAATAAATCAAATATTCGATGTACTGTTTTCTATTTCCCAGCGTCATATTTAGGTTGATATAAGAAGAGCTTGTTGTTCATGATTTTTTCATGGAATTGAGTTTCAAACACAGGAAATTTTGATTGCACGTTCTATTTCTCCGAAAGTCCATCATTGTTTGGACCTTTTGATGAAACAAGTGAAATTTTGATTTAATTTATACTTTTCAAATCAGTTTGATTTGAGTGTATGGTTTTATATTCTTTCCACAATTTTCCAGCTTAAGGGTTCATTTAAGTGAAAAATTTTGTGCAAATTGTGCTCATTAATTACAGTATAGGTACAATGCTGGTTTGAATTATCAGGACAAAATGAACAAAATTGAAATTTTAAACGCGTTTCTCTCAAATTCTGTTAAGATTAGACAAAAAGTGAAAAGAACAAAAGTTGCATAGAGCTTCTCCAGAATTATTAAAAATTTTAAAATTTTCAACCAAAATTTCACGCCCAAAAAAGATCATTTAGGCTTTTTTAAATAATCAAGAATTACAAAGAAGACTTGATTGATGGAAAAGTTATATCAAAACAACCGCTTACCCAGCCCAATAAAGTTCTAGAAAGGCAAAACATTTTAGATTTGTTTTTAAGCTAATATTTTGGTTTTTATAAAGTTAAAATGACCTGTTTTGGCTATCAAACAAGAATATATTCTCTGATACAGATTGTTGGAAGTTTTACCCTTCTGGAAGTTTTACCCTTGTTGGGCTGTGTAAGAGGCTTCTTTTGAGATAAATTTTTCATCAATCAACGTTGTTGTTTCAGCGTAATTGTTGATTATTTAGAGAAAAGCCAAAATGACACATTGTTGAGGTAAATTTTTGGTTGCGAGCTTGCATATTAATTCTGGTGAATTCTAAGCAAATTTTTTTCTTTTCAGTTTTTAGCTAATCCTAACCTATTCTGAGATTTTGTTTTTATAGTTTTCGTTGTTTCCGGTTAATTTAAATCAGCCCTGAAATAAGTACATTATATGATCCAGCTAAACATTTCTCAAACTGCATTCTTGGCTGCCTGATATCTAAGAATTAAGTTTGGTGAAAGTATTTGAAGGAAATTTCATTTAAAAAACTTTGTTGTTTTTCTTTTTCCGTTTTTTAGAGCTCCCTTTGCCGTTTTTTCGTTTGTTTGGGAAATAATTTTAGTTTCAATATTTCATCTTTCTTGTGCTCGATAAAAGTTAGCAGGGCAATTAATGATGACTTCCTTGAATGAGTTTTAACTGTCCTCAAAATAGGACCTCCCCTTGCGCCGATGTATTTGTGGCTTTGGCCGATCGAGATCTGGAGGCTCCTAACTCTCGGAGAGTGTATACTGAATACGCGTCAGATGTCGGGCTAAAATTAACAACATATAGTATAACGTATAATCGCATATTCTAGCTTTCATATTAAAAAAAAACAATTGATAGTTTGATATTAATTTTATCCTAATTCGATTTTAGTAATTTTGGAAAAGGAGGTTTGTCTCATAAAATTTTAAAACTAAAATGAATTTGATTGCACTCAGGGAAACTTTTTTCTTTTTTCAACTTTTGTTTTCCACGCGAAATTAGGTACCGCAAATAATCGAACTGTGTCGAGTGATATATCATATTAAAGCCTTCGAGCGACATTTAAAATTTCCCAATTTCGAGACAAACTGGCTTAAAGTTTTTGATTTTTCGTCTAATTGCTCACAATGCGAGTGAGCAGGCTTACATTAGCTTATTTATGCTTAATTTAAGCCTTGAAAATTTAGTTTCATTCAAGTAAGGCTATTTTTAGCGCCTTCTTAGAAATCGTAAATTTTTTTGTTAATTTCAATTTTTTGTACAATTTTTTTTCGTTTTTCTAATTTTTTAAATAAAATGTTTTCCAATTGGCCTGTTTTGTTATGACTGTCAAACAGGGGCAGATTTAGGGGAGGACAGGCAAACGCCCCCCCCCCCCCCCATCCCCCCCCCCCCCACTTCCTCAGGGATTCGTATTCCTGCCGACCCAAAGGGCCCCCTTTGTACTATTTTGAGATCACCATTTTTGGCCGACGGACTCTAAAAATTTTCGAAAAAATGCCTAAAAACGCTATTTTGGACTGATTTATTTTCAAAATTTTGCCTGAGGCGCTGAAAATTTGGAAAAAACTGTCATTTTAAGGCTTTTGGAGAGCTCGGAAACTCTATTTGGTCGGCCTAAAAAAGGTCGACAAAACTTTTAACTTTTTTTGAAAATCCCGCCGCTCCCCCCTCCAAAAAATCCTAGATCCGATCCTGTTGTCGAATATTCCTAAGCTCTAGTTTTTCGTTCAGATCTTTTTATCGCGCCACGCAGAAAAAAAAAGACACTTATATGAGTTTTCGTATTTTTTTAACATAACTTATTTGAGTTTTCGTATTCACTCGTTTTCGTATTTTTTTTAAAACTATGGTCGGGACATTCTGTGCTACTTGCACAGAAACCGGCTACCCTTATTTTTATTTGCAATATCTCGAATATCTGTCAGTTTTTTGTACTCGAATAAAAATTTTGATCTCAGATGATGACAGTTGCCATTTACTTTTATCGGAAATATTTTTTGACGGGAAAAGACTTCAAAGGATCCTTATTTTTGAGGTTTCTCGGAGGAGAACTACAGACGCTATCTGAACTTGATGCATGACTACAATGACGTCAAAGACCTGGCCAGCGCCTACCTCGGTCACCTGGCTACCCTTAAACAGTGCACTGTGCGTGAACTCTACATCCAACATGGACTCGACCCTGAACATGACTGACAGTTTTTTGTGACTTCATTTGAAAAATTTGTGATTTGAATTGAAAACGAATTAGTTTTTCTTACCTGTTTTAGCTAAAACTGTGGGAGTTTGAGCGAAAATTAAAACAAGCGTTCTGGTTGAGTAAGATGAGGAGAAATTTATTAACGAAAATAATCTCATCGGGATTATTTTTCTACTTTGGCGTCTTCTTTCCCCTTTTTTAAATGAGAACAAATTAAGTTCTCTTATAACAAAACCGCCAATGGCGCAAAGTTGACAAAAATATTATGATATGTGTTCAAATATTGTTCTCTCAGCTCCGGTTAGCGGATTGAGTTGGGTTTTAACTGCAAGAATTGGGTAAAAAGTAGTTTAATCAAGTAAAAAAAACTGTAGTAGAGTAGCATAAGGAGTTTCCAATGTGTTCATTCCCATGAAAGCTTGCTTGGAAATCCCAAAAAATAGCGAGAAAACCCACTTTTCTACTCTTCGGAGAACTTTCAATTTTGAGTAACAATGTACCTTGCCTAAAACGACAGAGATCAAGTGCTAGTTTTGATAATACAATGTTTTTTTTTCACTGATTTGAGACTTTTTTGTTAAGTAAATTCTACTTCGAGTGAAATTTTCAAGTCAACTTCTGATTCAAAAAGCTTTCAAATATCAAAGCTGTCTAAGTTTAAAATAGCTAGGATGTCATTTGTTCTTTTGTTTTGCACGTGCGGTTTGCTTTGAAAAGAAAAATGGATCTAAAAATTTTTTTAAAATAAAATTGCTACTTTTTTGCGTCCCAATGCTTTATCTGATCACCAGTGAAACTGTGCGCGTGGAGGGCCTGAAAAACAAGCTGGCCAGTGAAACTGTGCGCGTGGGGCCTGAAAAGAACTTTACCCAGTAGTGGATTTTTGGACTGGCTTAGGAAACATTTAGAAAAAACACTCCCTATTGGCGGACAATTGGACTGGATTCTGAGCATCCAGATTCAACTGAGCCTTGGAGCGGATTGTTGAGCTGGTGAAATCAATGCAATTATTCCCCCAAGTTTTTTCCGGGAAAATGCCAAAAAAGAAACGGGAAACGTCTAATAAACAGAATATAAGTGTTTTATTACATGAAGATCCCGAATATCCATGTAAACTCTGCGAAAATGAACATGAATTTAATTTTCATTCGTGTGAAATTTGCGAAACCTGGTTTCACGATGACTGTAATAAATTGCCTAAGCAAAATCTCCAAAATTTAGGCAAAGTTAAAGGTTTATTCTGGAAAAGCGAGGATAAAAAATATTAAATGATAAATTGAAACAATCTTTTGAGAATATCACTAATGAAATCCAAAACGCAAATTTAGCGATCCAAAACAATTTAGCCGATGTAAATTTTTCAAAAGAACAGTATAACGACTAAACATTGACAATTAAAAAAGAAACTTCAGAAATAAAAAAACCTTGCTTCTTTGAAGTAGCCCATTAGACCGAGTAACGATTTTTCGTCAATTGGGAGGTATTAGCGTTTTGCGCGAAAATATAGCAAAAAACAGCAAATTATCAACAACAGTTAATAATGTTTCCACCCCAATCCAAGTTAAAACAGACTTTAATCTTTTTGGAGAGAAACTAGTGAAATATATATTAGCAGAATATATACAGGACGATGAAGTTGTACAAATTGAAAGGGACAGATATAGTTTGCTGTAAATGTTCAGAAATAGGGATGGTACTTAAAGAAATAACTGTGAGCGACTGTTTTAGACTTGATAAAGAACAACCATACAAATCAAAACCTCTTGTCTTTTACTTACCATCTCCTTGGCATCATTAACTTATTCTTCTGTCAATGAGAAAGCTAAAGAATTCGAATATGTATATCAAGGAGTTAATGAATTATGCGGACTATCAGAACGAAAGGAAAATTCTCAAATATAGATACGATTTGAGTTCTTTGATGCAAAAAGAAAAATTAAAATTCAAAATAAAGGCTGGAAGACTTCTTTTTGGCACTTATACAATTGACTGTAACAAAGAGGTTCAATCTGAGTGTGATCAAATTTTGTAAAGGGACTTTTTCCTTGACTAAATAATGACATAAAACTTTTGTCACCTAATTGCAGATCAATTTAAACAATTGAACGGAAAATCAAGCTGGAGAATTTATTGCGAATCCATCTACCTGACATTGTTGCCTGTAGTGAAACATGGTTGGATAAACACATTGAAAATACTTAAGTCTTATGCACAGATGTATATGAAGCAGTTCACCGTTCTGATAGGAAAACTGGACCTCATGGAGGAGTCCTAATTGAGGTTAAAACATCAATTAAATTAAACGTCATCGATGATCAATCAGTTATTTTTGATTTTGGTTCATATTTGTGAAGCTGAATAATCTAATGCTTTGCGTAACAGCGATTTACAGCCCACCGCATCCTTATACTCTAAACGGATTTGTATATTTGAAACATTTTTTAGTAAAATGAACAAACAACTGAACGTTCATATGGTAGAATCTAACTCGAACACAACGCACTGGAATTTATGCGGCAATCTGAACTTAAAATCAGGTGATTGGAATACTTTATCAAGTGATGACCAATGTGAATCCAGTTTTTTGAAACCAATTGCGAAGTTCAATTTTGGTTTAGTGACAGATAATGATTTTTTACAGCGAGGCGTATTATTAACAGACAATCATTCTTTATGTAATAACTTCAAAATAAACCAAAGCTTCTCAGATCATCTTGCACTTTCCTGTCAAGTAGCATTTGAGAATAAAACGGAACAGATAAATCTAAACCGTAACTTTATCCATAAAGCAGTTTCCGAATCATTGCATTTGTTTTTCTTAAACAACAGATGTAATTGCTCGAATGATGCGAATAGAATGCTTGAAACGTTCTATTAGGTTGTAATATCAAGCCGTTAACAAATATATCCCAAAAAAGACAATTTGTAGCTCTAAAGCCCCCTATTGAATGTCATCACATTCAATAAATGCTGAAAAAGGTCTTCAGACGGTATTGAAACATTATTATGCTGACGAGAAAGTTAAACGATGCACAAGAATTGAATGATTTTAAGAACTATTTGAAGCCATTTACTTTGAGTCAATGAAAGATACGAATAATAATGACTTACAAATTTCTCAGATCGATAAATGGAAAGGCAAAAGTACCCAAGAAAATGTCATACAAAAATACCAGTTTATGCTCTGATTTTGCAATCTGCGAGACTTTTAACGAGTTTTCTTGCATCTGTGTACAAAATAGGCAACGAACCTTTGAATTTTCCAAGCGAACGTATTTTTCCAGAAATATACTTATCAGATACTTTCGTTTCGCACTGCGAAATTCGAAGCGAATTGAGTAAATGCAAATCAAAACAAATTCAGTTGATGGTATATCTCCTAACATATTAATTTTAGTTTTACAGCTCTGTATGAATGATTTTGTTGAACTGTTCATTTGCATATTCAGCAATAAACAGTTTCCAAATATCTGGAAAATAGCACGCTTTAATTTTTTTACAAAAAAAGCTTCTCGTGTGAACATCAAAAATTACAGGCCCCTTTTCAATAGTTCCTGCATTCGCCCTAATATTTGAACGAGTTTTTTTATAACAAGATAAAAGGATTCCTTCAAAGAAAGTTGGGTAAAAATCAACATGGATTTAGAAAACATCATTCGATTGTGACAAACCTTTTATTATACTGTGATGTTATATAGAAGAAATTAGAACAAGGAGAATTACCTTTCACGTTATGTTTAGATACTGCAAAAGCTTTCGGCTCTATTAGCCATAACATCATTTCATACAAGCTTGCCAAAATAGGCTTCGACCATTAGTTTCTTCAATTTTTTGCTTCTTATCTCACAAACAAAACAAATAGTTTTTCTTCGTAATACTTTGTCTCATTCCCGCAATATAACGAGTGGTGGTCCACAGGGATCAATTTTTCAGTGTTCTTGTCTGAATAAACTATATACCGGAAATAATTGACAACCCTTCGTTTTTATATTCTGGCGATACTAAAGTTATTGGATATTGGTTTGACCTGTCTTCGATTCAAACAGATATAAACAATGTGATCACCTGGGCAGCAGAAAACAGAATTGACTTCAATTTTGACAAATTTGAACAAATTAGATTTGAAAAAAATCAAACAAGTGATACCCTTAAAGCGATCGTTTATATATTGATGGAGAACAAATAGTTACAAAAGACACGAAGAAAGACCTTAGTGTTTGCTGCCATTTCAAAATGTCATGGTTATACAACATCGCCAAAAAGCTTAAAAAAAAAGCAAACATGCAATTTAATTACATCAGAAGATCTTCGCGAAACTCACTGAGTAGTTCTGTTCGGGTTTCGCTTTTTGAAATTTGCATACTATCAATAATTTGTTGTGCATCTCCAGTTTGGTTTGCGACTAAAAATCAACGTAAGCAAATAGTAAAATTTCAACGGCAATGCCTAATATGGTGTTACAAACAAGATGAATTGAATGATAAGGAGTATGTTTTTTTTACTGGAATCAAAGCAATCTGTTGCCAATTTCGCTGACGTTATTTAAAAACGATTTCACTTTGCTGAATAACATTCTTAATAACAAGTTTTCTTGATTTTTCTTGATATTTGGACAATCGAAAAGAGCCCTGATTCAAGTCGAACGGGAAACCAGATGTTTTTGAGAATGCCAATGATAACACGGAGTAAACTTTGTGAAATTGTTTTTACCGTGTCGCAGAAATGTCAAACACCCTCGCGAGATGGAACAATTTGCCTGACTATGATCCTTTTCAAGAACCTGTAATCTTTAGAAAGAATTTGAACCTGTTATTGATTGACAAACTACAAAACTTTTAAGTACTCGATTTATCCAGAGTCATGGTTTTGAAGTTTATTTTACTAACTTAGTTATCATTTATTAAGAGCAACTAATCCCCGCCTTGCTGGTTTAAGTCAATCTTATTATTATTGTTATTATGCTTATTCTTGTTCCCTGCAACAGCGTGATTTTGCATATGAAAGAGAAAGCAGAGTAATCAAGAGGTTTTTATCAGTGAAAATCTCATTTTTGTTATCTAATGTGCGGGAATTCTGATAAAATATCTTCTTGAAAATATTGGGCCGCAAATAATATTCGAGATTTTAAATTATCTACACAGCAACAAAATGATTAGTAAATTACACTATTGATAAGGTTAGAAAATTCCAAGCACAAAGTACATCTAAAATTTTTCCGCTGAATTCTTTTGCTGCAAACGAATTGAATAATTTTTGCTCATTAATGTATTTTTTTTTGTTTAATCTTCCATTTTTGTAAGAAACAGACTTGAATATTTGTTCTTGAAATACAGACAGAATATTGTTCTTCGGGTCAAAGTTGAATCAACTAGCAATTTTCGACTGAACATTGCGGAAGATATTATTGCTGTTAAAAAGTTTAAAAGAACATCACCAATTATGATTTTTGCAAAGTTAGGGAGAGGTTAGAAATAGCCAGTTAAACCAATTTGGAATAGAAAAAAACCGAAGTTATTTTTTTTCACGCGTAACTGCACCACTTTTTGCTGGACTAAGTGGGGATGTTCAAAAAGGAAGTTATCAAATATTTGTTCGTTATTTTCATCCTTTCTAATTAAAACTACTTCAGATAATTTAAATGGCAGTCCAAAGAACCAGTCTCTGCACTGGTAAGAGCAGTTTTTTGTTGCTAATTGAAAATGTATAAAGAGCATTCATTCTAAAATTTTCCAATTTGGTATCTATTTTTTGAATGTAATATAGAGATTGATTACTTTTGGACCTTTTGATTTTATAGGAATTTGTCAATTTTGTTCAACTGGAATTTAAAAATTTTGAAAAAAAAACTAGTCATTCAATAAACAGATAAAACGTTTATGATACGCTTTTTTCATAAATTCGTTGTACCAAAACTGTATGGATAGTATCTTCAGTCCATCGTGGTCAACGTGGATATTCAGCGTTGTGAATATTTTTTTTCTAATTTTTCAAACATCAATTTGTTCTTGACATCAGATTTATCTATAAAAGTGCCAAAAAACCTTTACGAACTTTCATTTTGAATTCATTTAAATGTAAAAGTTCAAAAATCGATCTCCAACTATTTTGATAACGGTGATTCAAAAAAAAAGTTTTTAAAACATTTGAAAAATTTGAAGTAAAATGACCATTTTTAGCAAAGAAAAGACACGTCCCGTCGCAATAACGTTGTTTTCAACTTGATTTGAAAGTTAGTAAGCAAAGTTTTGAAGTAGAAAAGATGCAAAATGTTTGCACTTTCTGTTATAGTGTTCTATTCTACATGACCTGAATGTTTTACTTTTGCTAGTAAAAACAGCCGCGGATCGAAATTTTTTCCGAGAGAGGGGTCAAAAATTTTTTTTTTAAAAGTAGAAAAAAAATTAATTCAATAATCAGCAAAAATTAAGCAAATTTTTACAAGAGCCAGTCTGCAATTTTTGGCGGCAAACCTGTCATTGACATCATGAAAATTAGTTTCTACTTCTTTGTGTATATACCAAAGCTAAACTCAATAAGCGATATTCCTTCATATTAGATAAAAAAAAGACCGCTCGTATCAGGGCAAACCCCTGAATGCTCGACTATCCATGAACTGGTCTCGCATATTTTTGGTCAATGAAACAATGACAAGCTATACATTTTAAGTTGAATAAAAACCGTGTATGGAATTAAAAAGACCAATTAGCCTGCCTCAATTGATATTTGAACAGTTTTGTGGAGCGGGATAATTCACCACGCGTAAATATTGCACGTTCAACTTTCATCATCAAAGTATTTAAACGCTCTTTTAGTCACTTTAGTCTATTGCTGAGCGCTTCGCAGCAATCTTCAAGTCAGAAGTCTTTCAGATAGTATAGTGTTGAGCTCATCCTTTCTGGGATTACCATAAATAGATCCCTCGAAGGAAATATTTTCGAGTGTTGGTCTGAATAAAAAAAACACCTCGTGGCAAAAAATTAGGCAACAAAAGCTGATTCAAGTTAACCGGAAACAACGAACAACATTGGAAACTTCAAACGCATTTATCTCGAATTGGGTTGAAATTATAAAAAGAACGAAAAAGACAAAAATTGCTCAACATTTAACCTGAAAAAATATGATGCAATTTTTTTTCCAAAAATCGCATCGCAGTCATCATTTTAGTTCAAATTAGTTCCAAAAAAATTACGCTGAAACTAACGTGTTGCTTGATGACTTCAAAAAAATTACGCTCGAATAAGTTCCAAAAGAATTGCGTTGAAACTAATCTATTGGTTGATGAGAAAGAAGTATCAGAAGAAGTTTTTTAAACAACGGAACAAAATTTTAAAAGAGTAAAATCTCAAATTTTGCGCAAAACATTTAAAATTCGTTTTTGAACAAAAACTTTAAGTTTTGTATAGCGAAAGCATTTTTTTTCTTAATTATGAAGCAAAAATATATTCTCTTTTACAGATTTTTCGGAGATTTCACCCTTCTAGAACTACTTTGTTGGACTAGGTTTCTTCTGATATATGTTTTTTTCATAAAGCAGCTTTCATCAAGTAGTTTCAGCTTAATTCTTGATTAACTCAAAATACCCATTCCAACCACAATATACTGCTGAAACTATAGACGCAGCCAATATAATATTGGACGCAATTTATCGATTAACCTGTTGGGCCAAAAAAATTTCAGCAAAAAGATTTTAATAAATTATAAAATGATATATTACCTCTAAGCTGAAAACTATGATGATCATCCAGTAAAAAGTTAAACCTGGATATCATGATACACTTTGAGAATTGCATAATTTATGCATTTGTTAAATTTCTTCCTTGATTTTTGCTTGCGTCCAGGTATTGGACCTCAGCAGTCGGTTTATTTACACAGACTATAGCACAAAACCGTCGGGCCAATGAAGTAAAAAAATTCTGAAATTTGTTTTAGCTCAATTCAAACTTTTACGTGCAGTTTCTTGCCAGTTTGTTTTTGGTTTTTGGACGCGAAACGTTAAATTTAGCTGCCTAAACAAATTAATATAAATAAGATGTAAAATTTTAAATGTACCAGTAAACAAATTTACCCATTTTACTGAACTTATCATTCTTTGCCGCTCTAACTTAATCTGAAAAACCAATTTTTCAAACCGCTTTTCTAAGCACTGGGCTATTTTTCTTATTTGAAATCCAAATGAAGAATTTGACATCATGAGCAAAAGTTTAGAGAGAAAATTTATCGACAAAAATTGTTTGCTAAATTATTGGGGTTCAAAAATTGCCTATTGCGCCAATTTGAGATAATCAATTGGCGCAAAGTTTTCGATTTTGTTGTGGCGTAGTATAAGCGGTGAATTGATTCTGTCCAAAAATCACTCTAAGTTTAATTGAGGCAAGCTGATTAATCCCGATTTGAATCAGGAAGACGCAAAATTTGTCACTTTGTATTTGAAGCTGCCTGTTGGGGAAGATCTTTAAACGAATGAAAAATTTTCAAGATGTATTGGTTAGATGAAGTTGCCATCAATTTTTTAACCATGTATTTTTACAAGTATAATCTAAAAATAACAGACGTCAGTTTTGAGCATTTTACGCAATGGACGCTTTGTTCCGATGATTATTGAGACAATGTCAAAGTTTCCAACAAAATTAAAATTAAAAAAAATATATTAATTCCGTACGTATTTTGAAATTATTTAATGTTTCCTTATTAAAAGAATTTGATTTTAATTATTTTATTCAGCTTCACCAATATTATAATATGTAATTACAATAAATTAAAGATCGCCTTTCAGCCCAAATCCGCATGCTAGTACCCCGTGAGTTGACACTGGAAGACACAGTGTGTTAGTACCTCGGTGTTCCAACAACCTCGTTGATCCAGTCTTTGTAGTCCACAACATCAGTGTAGACTCCTGGGTTCCTCGCCTGGGCACATCCATTTCCCCAAGAGACTATTCCTGTGAGTTCGAAGAACCCTTCCTCATTCTGCATGGCCAAAGGTCCTCCGGAGTCTCCTTGACAGGAGTCCCGCATGCCTTCTTCGAATCCGGCGCAGACCATTGTCTCCGTGAAGTATCCTCCCAGCCACTTCTTGCATGTATCTCTGGAAATTATAGGAACTTCGACAACGCTCAAGATGTTTCCGTCGCCAGTTCCCTTAGTGTATCCCCACCCCATAGTCACAGTCTTCTCACCCCCTTGAACCTCCATGGTTGGCAAGCATATAGGTTGGATCTTGTCAGTGAAAGGGACGGACTGAGTCAGTTTAAGAATCGCAATGTCATTTGAGTTCCAGCCATCCTGGCCGTATCTTGGGTGAAGTGTGACGCTTCTGACGTATCTCCTCTCCTGGCCATGTTCGATTTCGTATCCATGTTTTTGATGTTTGTCTCCAAAAAACAGTTTCAAAGACGAGGGATTCATGCCGGTCCAGAAGCAATGCGCAGCCGATATCACTGTGTATTTATCGTACAGAGCACCTCCGCACCAGTGGTTCCAGCCCATTTTGATATTCACCATAAAGGGGTACGATCCTCTGACTGGCGAGTATGAACCATTGACAATTCTTTGGTCCAATGGATCATGCAAAGGAGCTTTTCCGCATTGGTAGGCTCTAAGAGATGGTTCAGATATTTCGGCTTCCTTTGGCGATGGTTCAAATACTTCAGGCTGTTTTGGCGATGCTGGTTCGCTTCCGAAGCCAGGAGGCATTCTCTGGTATCTAGCCAATGCCGATACAGTCAGCAATGCCAATATAGCTATTTTAAGCATTTTGAAAAAAATGTGGAAATCGAAGTTGCGAATACTGAAACTAAGAGATTTGAAAACAGAAATTTGAGAGGATGGTTTTTCTAAGTTCCGATCTTCCCTTTTATACCAAATAAATCTATTTTGCTGCACTTGTTTCGCAGCATTAAAACGATTTTCACCGAACTAAGTGATTGAATATTCAATTCAAGACACTTGTAAACGCTTAATATAGGTCGTCATTTTGCCATTGATTGATTTTTAGTGCTCAAAGAGGTTCTTTCTCTCTTCGAATAGACTGAAATTGATTTATTTTTCTGTCATAAGTTAATCCAAATTGATTTGCGATTCAGCCTACAATAAAAGATGTGACATTATTGATTGCATAAGAATAAGCGATGTAGAACTTCAATGCATTTTGTCGTAGCTGTGAAACATTCTATCGCCAAATTTATCAAAATTGTTTCAAATAAACTTAAAAAATCTAAAAAGTTGCGAGAAAAAACATGTTGATTGATTGGAAGTCTTATACACAGATGAGTAGCATGCCGACACAATAGCGGATTTAGGGGAGCGGGTGCGGAGGGGGTCTGCGGACGTCCCTCTACCCCTCAGGAAGTCTAGACTCCCTGACTACTAAACACCCTGACTACTATATTCCTGGCTACTAATTTCGATCCCCTGACTACCATCATTTGGAACTATTGTACGGCATCAAAATTCAGCTGCCCGAATCTACAATTTTTCTAAAGGCACCTTTCTTTTTTCTGTTTTGGTAAGGTTCAGAAAATCAATTTGGTCGACCAAAAAAAAGTTCCACAAAAATTTCGATCCTTTTTGAAAATTCTCCTCCTTACTAAAAAAAAGTCTTGAATCAGCGCCTAAAGCCGACTAATTCCAGATCTAAAACATGCCAGAATTTGCATAGATCTGCGTGGTTTCCACGAAAAAGGAGTGCCAAAAATATGAAGTATGTGCTTCAGAATAGTAACCGAAGGTTTTTGAGTTTACCGTGACGACCCGCCTTGGTAAGTTTTGTCATTTTTTGAAATTTTGCCTCTCTTAAACAATGCACATGAATAATGGTGGGGCTCGAAACCCAGGTTCATCGGGAGGGAGCTGGTCAAAGGGAGCCGGCAATCTTCATTAAGAGGCCTTTATGCAAAGCAATCAAAGTAATGAAGTTATCTGTCTTTATTTTAATCTTCTTGCATGTTTATCGACTAAAAGCTACCAAGAAAATATTTGTCGTCTGGCTTCAATAACTTAACTTGAAACTACACTTCGAAAACTCAGATAACGGATTAGATGATTGACAAATATAACGTTATCTATAAAATGAGGAACCAAATATTTGTCACATGTTAGATGACTTCAAAACTAATGCAGAAAAATTGTCTGTGACATTCTGAGCAAACCATTTCGAAACAAATAAGTCTCCGAAGTCAGTTGCATCAATTAATCATAATAAAACTTAGATTGCAAAAATATGCGTGATAGCTTGCCTTTCAAAAACTATAGGTTTGTAGATAAAGTCATATTTGCCCCCACCATAATAACTATACTATATGTTGCCACAATTATGCAGCGCTAACCCAAAACTACCATAAAATATGGTTATCTAATTTTTTTTTGTTATAGTAAATTTACAAAATCTTCTCTGGTTTTGTGATGGCTTATGTTCTTCGTGTTTTTCAAGGATTTAAAGTTAACATATTGGTCCGACAATGAAACATATTTAAAGTCAAAGAGCTTTCATAATTGATTTTTTCATCAAATTTTTCATTTAAAAAGCATATTCAGCTGATTTCCTTTCTTATACACGCAACTATTTTCACGCTAAAATTGAAGTTGATCATTGGAACTTTCGTCCTGTTATATTAAAAAATGGTATTGTTTGTTTGCTAGTTCATTTGTTTATTTGTATGTTTGTTGGTTTGTTTGCTTGATACGTTTTTTTGTTCACAGTTTGGGTCGGGAGGACCTGGGCAACTTCCATTTTTGGAAGGGAGTGATTGGGGAGTTCATCGCCACCACTCTCCTCCTTCTCTCAGTCCTGACGGGGGGCACATTTGACAGCGCATGGGGAGAGGGGGGAGGAGCCTACTTCGCATACTGCATCGCATTCGGATTCTCATACATGACGCTAGTCTACGTGTGTATCATTCTCATAATATATAAAAATGGGGATTCCAAAATTGCTCATTTTGTTGTTTTGCAAAAAACTGGTCATTATGTTCGCATCGTACAGTGCTGATTTAAATTATCCGGACTAAACGAACAAAACTTGAATTTTCAAATGCGTTTTTCTCAAATTGAGTTAAGATTAGACAAAAAGTGAAGAGTACAAAAGTTGCTTAGAATTTCACCAGAATTAATATGATGCCATTTTTTCTGGGTCATTTTGGCTTTTTTCAATTAATCAAGAATTACGCAGAAACTACTTTGTTAATTGATGAGAAAATTATATCACAGGAAGCCTCTTACGCAGCTCAACAAAGTTTCAGAAGGGTTAAATCTCCAAAAACCAGTATAAGAGAAAAAATTTTCACTTGATAATCAACAAATGTGATTTTTACTATATAAAACCCAGAATCTTTGCTTAAAAACAAATTTTACACAATTTGCGCAAATTTTTGGAGAAATAACCCTTCTTAAACTTTGTTGAGCTGCGTGAGAGGCTTCCTGTGATATAGTTTTCTTATCAATTAACAAAGTAGTTTCCGCGTAATTCTTGATTAATTGAAAAAAGCCAAAATAACCCATTTTTAGGGTAAAGTTTTTGTAGAGAATTTCGGAGAAAAATGGCACCATATTAATTCTGGTGAAATTCTAAGCAACTTTTGTACTCTTCACTTTTTGTCTAATCTTAACTCAATTTGAGAAAAACGCATTTGAAAATTCGAGTTTTGTTCGTTTAGTCCGGATAATTTAAATCAGCACTGTATTATTTAAAATTAATTCTGGCGAAAAGGAATCAAGATTTTCAGAAAAAAACAAGAGAAGTTCAATTAACAATTTGGTATTTTTTGGCGGTATAAGAGAAAAGATAGTTTTTTCTTAACCCGGATAATTGCAGTTCTCTACAGTTTTCTTTTTTAACTGGTACCCTCCTTTAATTCCGCTCTTTATATTTGCTCAGGCGTTCAATGATATCAGCGGGGGTCACGTGAACAATGCGGTCAGTTTCGCCATGTTTCTCATGGGCAGGATCTCTGCCATCCGCTGCATATGCTACACGGTGGCCCAGGTGGGAGGAGCTGCCATGGGATCACTCATCATTCAAAAGTTACTCTTTTTTGACGATAGTTTGTCCACCTGAAGCTGATTTTGAAAAACAACGAGCCAAATGAGATGTTTTAAAAAGGCACTTTTTGAAATGTTTTGACAAAAAAATGCATGCTTGGCATCAGGGGCGGATCTAGGATTTTCTCGAGGGGGGGGCGGATTTTCAAAAAATTTTCCAAAATTTTGACGACCTTTTTTTTTTTAGGTCGACCAAATTGATTTTTATTTTTCGCGCTCTCCTAAAGCACTGTTTTGCCCTTATTTTGGCAAAAATAATCTGCGCCGCAGGCAAATTTTTTTGAAAAAACAGTCAAAAAAGCCGTTTTTGGGCACTTTTTGAAAAATTTTGACAAAAAAATGCGTTTTTTTGGCGCGCGCTCCCCCTCAAAAATAGCATTTATTGGCGCCAAAGGCGCCTTTAGAAAAATTTTAGGGTCGGTCGGCCAAAAATGGATTTCTGAAAAAGTATCAAAGGGGGGACCCTTTGGGTCGGCAGGGGGTCAAATCCCTGAGGGGGGGGGGGGGGGGGGGGCGTCCGCCCAACCCCCCGCCCCCCCTAAATCCGCCCCTGCTTGGCATCCCTGTCTCAAATTTCAAGTTGGTGTACAGTGCTGATTTAAATTATCCGGACGAAACGAACAAAACTTGAATTTTCAAACGCGTTTTTCTCAAATTGGGTTAAGATTAGACAAAAAGTGAAGAGGGCAAAAGTTGCTTAGAATTTCACCAGAATTAATATGGTGCCATTTTTTCTCCGAAATTCTCAATCTAAATTATACCCCAAAAATGGGTCATTTTGGCTTTTTTCAATTAATCAAGAATTACGCTGAAACTACTTTGTTAATTGATATAAAAATTATATCACAGGAAGCCCCTTACGCAGTTCAACAAAGTTTAAGACGGGTTAAATCTCCAAAAACCAGTATAAATGAAAAAAAGTTTCACTTGATAGTCAATAAATGTGATTTTTGCTTTATAAAACCCAGAATCTCTGTTTAAAAATAAATTTTAAACCATTTGCGCAAATTTTTGGAAATTTAACCCTTCTTAAACTTTGTTGAACTGCGTAAGAGGCTTCCTGTGATATAATTTTCATATCAATTAACAAAGTAGTTTCAGCGTAATGCTTGATTAATTGAAAAAAGCCAAAATGACCCATTTTTGGGGTATAATTTAGATTGAGAATTTCATTGATATTAATTCATATTAATTCTCGTGAAATTCTAAGCAACTTTTGTCATCTTCACTTTTTTGTCTAATCTTAAACCAATTTGAGAAAAACGCGTTTGAAAATTCAAGTTTTGTTCGTTTTGTCCGGATAATTTAAATCAGCACTGTATATTGACTCGATAAGAAGCTTAAGAAGATTTTCAGGGTTCACAATCGATGTCTTAAAATAAAACCACATTGAGACGAATTGTGAGGAAGGCCAGCATTTTCTCCTTATATCAACTATGGCACCATAATATTTATGTTCAATGGTATGTATGTTTCCGTCTACTTTTTCAGAATCTGGAACGATAATGACTATGCGTGTGGGAAGATAGAACTGCTGAAAGACAACCATCTGCTGGTGGCTGTGGAGACTCTGTTCACCATGCTCCTCATTCTGGTCGTTCTAGTCGCCGCAGAAGCGGATAGGTCAAGGTCAGAGAGGTCCCTCCACATCGGAATGA